ACGCCATCCAGGAGGAGGTGCTGCAGCTGCACCAGCTGCTGCAGCCCGACCCCGCCCGCCTGCCCCTCGACCCGTCCGCCTACGTCACCCGCGGCAACCAGCTGTGCGGCCAGGTGTCCGAGGTCATCCGCACCACCGCCGAGGTGAGCCCTCCGGATCCGTGTGAGGGATCAGCCGGGCTGGCTCTCGAAAGACAGGGCGGCTGTCTGACGGCTCTGTTCTTCCCCCCGGGGGGGCGCAGGGGGAGTTCCCCAGCCAGGAGGACATGGCGGTAGCCGAGCAGGCGCTGCAGGAGATGCGGGCGCTGATCGCCAGCATGCAGCAGGAGGTGTCGCTGGCCCGGGAGAGGAGGAGGAGGCGGGAGGAGGCGGAGCAGGAGGCGCAGCGGAAGCAGGCCGAGCTGCAGAAGCAGCAGGAGGCGCAGAAGAAGAGCGCGGCGCCCCCGACTCGGCAGAGGCAGAGGAAGGAGGGTGAGGGGGGTCATGGTCGAGCACTGGTCTTGACATCTGGCGGCTGAGCTTACACCTCAGTCACTGGTGTGGCCTGTATTGGCAAATTAGCAAGGCTTTCAGGCTGTGGAGCCTGGAGTAGGGCAGTGTGAACTGGGGATTAGGGCTCTATCCCGGTACACTTGACAGTGGTGAAGGACTCAAGATCAGAGCTGAGGGGCTGTAAGGAGGTGGGGTGAGAATTGCGAGTCAGTTTGAGTTGCGCAGGTCACGCTTAGGAGACCAAGAGGCTGGAGAGAATTATGGTTCATTTGCAGCAGCACTTGTCAGCGGAAGACTCTTGTCTCTCAGGGTTGCAAACCAAAGCAGAGGAGAGTACAATGAAGTGGTACCAGCAGCTGCAGGACACGTCCAGCCAGTGCGCAGCATCTTTTGAAGACCTCAACAACACCAAAGACACACAGGTGGGACTGGATACTTCGCCATTGTGCCATTCTGTGGGAGCGATCAAAGGGATTTTGATAATAAATCCTAGAAATGAATGTATGAATTGATGTATGTTTTAATGCATGTTTCGTATTCAGAAATGTTGACTCAAAATGTGGGGATTGGTAATGAAGCGAATGATGGGGAAAAATGTCTGCATGTTGTGTGATATTATGTAGCTTTAGCTCTGATATCCCTCTTTAAACGTCAGTGAACCTCTGTCGCTGCTCAGGGCACGTTGTGTTAACTGCCATGCCCTCTTGCAATCCTGCACAGACCAAGAGGCTGAGAATGGAGCTCCAGAAGGCGGCGTCCATCCCTGTCAGCCAGATCTCCAGCATCTCAGGTGGGCGTAGTGGGGAAGAGCAGAGCTGGGCGGAGCCGCCCCCCTCTCCTCTCAGCCTCGCCTGCAGCGCTGTCGGGGGGACACGCGGGTTTAGGCTCTAGAGCAGGGGTATCGCAGCGCAGTGGAGCTGGGCGCTGCTGCTTTCTCAAACACATCGGAGAGTGGAGACTGCTGAAGTGGTACATGATTTGTTTTCAAAAACACTCATAAAGAAACGGAAGTGTCCAAGCAAATTACAGCGGATACTCGATCCATTTCTGGTCAGACGGAGGCAAAGTGCAACATATGGGATCACGCCATACTCCTTATTTGCCTCTTGTAAAAAGTCAGAGACTTCATTGTCGTCAGATAATGTATTGCCAGGGAGCTATAACAATAACAACTACATCGCTGGATTAAGGGACCATTTAAAGTGGATCAATCAGATGTCTATCAAAGGAACTTGACTTATTCTTTGCAAGTAAACCTTAATAAACATTTTGAGCGCAGGAGGCTGTTTCTTCAGCTCATCTGATCTTTCTACAGAGAAATAGTCTCAGAGAAACGGGCCTTTGACTCGGTTTTAAAAATGTGTTCCTCGGCTTCTGAAGGCAGGCTAGATATATATTTGTTTTCACTTTACGTATGAAGTATTGGTTCCGATCGGTGAGCTGCGCCGCTTGTGGTTGACTCGGCGCTGTGCCTGTCCTGCAGGATCCAAGCTGAGAGAAATATTTGACAAGATCGACAAGCTGCTGTCCGGGAGGCCGGTTCAGTCGGGGGGGAAGTCCGTCTCCGTCTCTCAGCACCCGCATGGTCTTGACTTCGTTTGCTACAAACTGGCGGAGAAGTTTGTGGTGAGTTATTTTGCAGCTTTTGCCCCTTCACGTTACTTGCCGCCCCCTGGTGGGGACATTGGTCTAGACTGCCTTCCACTGACAAGGAACCCTTTAGAAAGATTTAAAGGGGAACTGTGACGCTATTTTTATATTTTGGGGTTAGAAAGAATCAGCATTGATGTGCATTTCAAACTACGCTAAAAGTTAAATTTACAGAGTAACTTATGAAGCCTCCAATTTACATCTCAAAATAGACAAAGTATTCAGGCATGAGCAGTGCCATATTCTGAAGCAACAAAACTTCTGGTGATGTGAAGTGGCCAAATTGCATTGTAAACCAGCAGGCGTGTGAATACATCTCTTTTAATCTGATAGAAGTATTGCTCTCGACTTTGTGACAGTTTTGCTGACACTACTTACTTGTTAACTCTGCATGCAGGTCACGTTGGAACATTTCCACAGTGAAACGTCTGCTGCACACCCTGTATTTATTTGCTTGTACTTTGCATGTCATTACAGTGACTAGTGAGCAGGAAGGGCCGTATCACGTATCACGTATCACGTCGCAATTCTCGCGAACTCTCGCTCTCGCCCACGGAGAGGCCAGGGCTTTGTCACAACATGGCGACTTGCCTTCAGCCCTTCTACTGAATTGTGGGAAAGAATCCGCAGTATTTACCCCGGTTTTGTCTCGGAGCCGATGATCCGTTACCTTGCCTCCCGTCTGTCCTCAGAAACAAGGGGAGGAGGAGGTGGCGGCCCACCACGAGGCAGCCTTCCCCATCGCCGTCGTGGCCTCGGGGATCTGGGAGCTGCACCCCAAGGTGGGAGACCTCATCCTGGCGCACCTGCACAAGAAGTGCCCTTACTCCGTGCCTCACTACCCCCCCATGAAGGAAGGCACCTCGGTTGAGGACTACCAGAGGTGAGGACAGCGCCTTTCATCTTAACCCCGTGCACAGCGCGAAAACACTCGTCAGGGTCTCAGTGCGTCGCGAGACACATTCAGAAATGCTTCCACCTGAAGCCTCTGTTTGTCTGGGATTGTGCGATTGTTCTTTCTGAGAAAGAAATGTGAATGGCTTCTGATGCGACCGCGTGGAAGGGGGTGCTGATATTGCTGATGGTGTGCCCGGCAGGATTCTGGGGTACCGTGTGGAGGACTCTGGCGTGGAGGCTCAGGACAGCTTCCTGAAGAGAATGTCGGGGATGATCCGGCTGTACGCTGCCATCATCCAGCTGCGCTGGCCCTACGGCAACAAGCAGGCGGTACGGAGGACGACACTCCTTCCCCTTCCTGTATCCGTCACGGCTGCACAAGCGCTGTGGCTTTAGGAGTGATTGATTGGTAATGCTAACCTCGAAGGGGGTCCGCAGACATTGCCCTTTCTGTTCGCTGCTTGGGGTTCTTACATCGCTTCACCCAGGATTGTACCTAGTTAACCTGAGTGTCTGGTAGATTGTTGCCGTGTGAGTTGCAGACTGTTCAGTTCTGTACAGCGTTGCCCAAGGGAAACGGCAGCAGGAGTTGTAGACCAGCAGCAGCTCCGGGCCTCTGCAGGAGAGTCAGATCGGGCCCGTCGAGCTGCTGCTCGGCCGCTCCAGCCTTCTCACTGAGGTCTGACGCGGGTATTAACTGTGTCGATAAAAAGAGCTCCGTTGCTGAGTGTGGTCGTGCCCCTTCGCAGCCGGACCCTCATGGTTTGAACCACGGCTGGCGCTGGCTGGCGCAGATGTTGAACATGGAGCCTCTGGCTGATGTCACCGCCACCCTGCTCTTCGACTTCTTGGAGGTACGGCTCGTCCCCGGATCCGCAGACCTGAACGCCTGGGATTGTGCTTCTCTTTTTGAAGTGCAGTGGCTGTTCGCTTTTCTTTATAGCACAGCAGCTCCCTGGGTAAGGTGGAGCAGCCAGTGTGAGCCAGCAGCTCCACTTCACGCTGGAGCAGGTGGAGATGTGAGGAACGGCTTCACCAGTCGCGTCAAGGGGGGACGCCAGTTTGTGCAGACCCCGGATGACACATAGCCAGGACACTGGGGTCATTTATCCCCCTGACTACTTTAATAAGCACCTTAAAGAGCTTAAACTGTCAAGTATGCAAGACCTCACTTTAGCATCCCATCTGAAGGACAGCACGTCTTGCAGTACAGTGTCCCTGGGCATCGGTGTGCCCTACTGGTCCACCAACCCCATTTGTAGCAGGAACATGATTTTCCTGAGAGCTTTCCCATCCCAGTGCTTTGTTTCCTGTTGGCTGCCTCTGCTCTGCTGAAACAACCCCTTCACATTCTTGGGATGAGGCATTTATGAGCGCACGGTTGTTTTGTGATCTGTTTCTTTGAACTAACACAGCTTGTGCTTCTTCCTGCCAGGTGTGTGGACATGCTTTGATGAAGCAGTACCAAGGGCAGTTTTGGAAGCTGATCTTGCTGATTAAAGAAGATTACTTCCCCAGGTAGTAAAGTCTTGGGTTCTGGGAAGACGGTCCATCTGTGATGGGAGAAAATGCCCGTGGGGTTTATTCCTGCTGCTGTCTTATAATACAGACTGTACGTTTGCGCAAGTAAAGGTTTATTCCATGCTGAAAAGAGGAGTAAGGGGAAAAAAGGTTTCGGCTCTGGAGCCTTCTTTGGGTGAAGGAGTCTCCTTCGAAGAAGGCTCCACAGCCGATGCCTTTGCAGTCTGCGCATGCTGACGCAGCTACCTTTGTGCAAGTAGTCATGTGGTATTCATGGTGTTCAAGCAGGTGTATCTCTAACCCTGCTCGGCTGTGCTTCAGTCAGCTGTTGCAGAGTTGTGGGTTCAGTCTTTCTGCCTGCCTGTTGCTTGTTTCCCATGGGAATGAACGCTGACGCTCTTTCGCCGCCAGGATTGAAGCCGTCACCAGCTCTGGACAGATGGGCTCTGTGATGAGGCTGAAGCAGTTTTTAGAGGTAAAGCAAAGCCAGGAACCATTATCCTGTTTCTTTTACCCCTGCTTGCTGTCCACGTACTGGCCAGAACCCTGCAGGTCCCGGGAGTTCCTGTCGCAGTGCAGGCCGAGAGATCTCCGGGGCGACCGAAGCCCACATGAGGCGGCGGGTGGGGGGGATCCCTCTCACACTTCTCTCGCCCCGGGCGTGACCCCCGTTCATCCTGCGCTCTGCAGGAGAGCTTTTGTCGTCGGGGACACAGCGGTAGCCCCTCCCTTCTCCCTTTCCGTGGGTCGAGGCGTGCCGAACGGGGGAACTGATTTGACTCTTATTTCTGCTGACCCCCGGCCTTGCTCGTCGGGTGGTGGGGAGATCCCGGTTGCCAAGGCCTTACTCCACTCTGACGTTCTGTACGAACACGGGGGAAATCTGGACAAGTTTCAATCCCAGCATTTCCTCGAGGCTCTGGTCTCTTTCAGACGTGCCTGAAGCGGCGAGAGATTCGTCCTCCGAAGGGGCAGCTGAGCACGTCCTTCTGGAGGTCCTGAGCGGGGAGGAGCGCCTCAACTTGAAACATCTGGGGTTGCTGACGTCATGCTCTGTGCTGGTCTCTGGGAATCCACGATCTCTTCTGAGACGTGAAGCAATGCGATGCAGCAGAGCTTGCCAAATAGGATATATAGAAAAGAAATGTAACATGATATTGACCTGCAACGTTACATCATAGCTGATTATACCGGCATACTGGCCTTCTCTGCTCATGAAATATTCATGAAGGGTAGGAAAATGAACTAAAATCCAGAGCCAGCTTTGCTTTTTAGCAACTATACATATGAAATATTGTCTAGGATTGACATAAAAATGATTGTGCTCAATTTATATTTTTGCAAAACAAAACTTAGTCTTGTTTTTTTTATTTTTTTAACTTTTTAAACTTATTTAGCTAGATTGTTTGAACTCTTGAAAGTCTTTTTTTGCAGCAACACTAAGCAGTAGTACCCTTTCCATCAAGCTGAGATGACCATGCTGAGGGGAAGTGAGAGATTACAAGCTTTCATGTATTGTATGTTCTACAAGAGCGAGAACATCATCTGTATCTGATGTTTTTCCTATTGAGGGATCGCAGACTGTACTGGCTCTTTCAGTTTCACATTTATGGAATGTGCTCTAAATTTGATGTATTTTAGGCAGTTGTGCATTTTTACGAACTGTGGATTTATCAAGCCATAATGCAAATATTTTCAGTGTCTTAATGGGGTATTTATAAAAGTGCAAGAGTGAGGCATACAGTCTAATTGCTTACAGCTGTAAAACGTACGAACTCTAATTCTGTTTCATTCTGTTTTATATAAGCCTTGATCTGTCCTTTGTGCAAACTGGCCACACCTGCCATCCCATATTAAATAGATTACACAGGCAGTTTGCAAAAGGGCACCCATCGGTCATGATTTATTATCTGCAGTATTATAAAGCAGTATTTTATTTTCAGCATTGGATTCTATATTTTGATCCTGTTATTTAACTGTACAGCGTGTGACGTTTAGAAACATTTGTAGAAAATGCATATTGGTTTGAGGCGCCAGTATGCCTACGTACTGTATATGTGTGCTCTTTGAATCGGGGATATATTGCAATATTTCTGTTGAATGCGCGAAAGATCTGAGTAAGACCAGAAGTGCCAAAAGGCTTTAATGACTCGAGCAGTTTAATTTCCGCATCTAGAACTCTCTGCCATAGAATCTTAGTCAGCACATTCCAGACAGTGAAATCTCTCCTGGAGTATAAAAGGGCTAACAGCATGAATTAAACATTAAGCCTGTCAGACAATGCAATGCACAGTAAAAAACAACAACAACTTCTTGCATTTTCTGTATGATGGCAACATTTTGTTTGCTCTAGACTTTCTGATTGTTTTCCAGGAAAATAGTTTTGTGACAGCCATAAGCTGCAGTAGAATAAGTCCAGTTCACCTACATTTTAATTGTCTCAGTTGTCCTTATGATCCTGCCGTGTGTGAAGTGTTCCCAAGCTGTAGTGTTGTAGCCAAAGGGGAATGTTTTAATTGAGAATTCTAAAAGAAGGTCATCGTTGTACTTGAAAGACTTTGTAAATGAATTTTGGATAGTTTTAAAATGACTATGTTCTCTGTATTAAAATTAAATGTATTTTCTAAGCTTGTGTATACTTTATATTTTTTAGAGAATTCATTGCAGTTATGATGTTGAAATACAGCAAAATTGTCTAATGTGGTGGTTGGTAGTCCTGGTCCTGAGTCTTCTGGTTTCTGTTCCAGCTGGGCCTTGAGTAACTGATCTGCTTGCTGGTTTTCTTTTTCTGCACTCAGTACTTGCTTTCAGTCTTCTTAAAAAGCTTTATTTTCTACAGGTGCACTATGCAGGCTCTTATACTTTCTCTCCCTCATGAGCTAATTTGTGTCCTTTTTTCTGACTAAACAGCTCTTATTGGTTAATCCACTGATGTTGAAGAGAGACAGGTGGGACAGGCTCTCAGACTCGCCCAGATCCAGTCTAATTGGCTGTACTGTATTTCAGCTATTACAACTCAAGGCAGTTCCGAAACCCACAAATTGGCAAAGGATTCACTCGGGTTTAACAGCTGAAAGCAAATTTAAAAAGGCCTCAAATACCAAACTGTAATCAATTAGATTTAGCTGGATCAAACCCCAGAAGAGACAGGGGCTACCCTGGACCAAGTGTAAAAACTGTACTGAAACATTGAATGTTTTTTTTAAATATATGCCCTGAGGAAATCTGTTGGTTTGACTCGATAAATGTACATGATCGTGTTGTATCGTGTAAGTTTCCTAGTTAATGCGTAACTATGTAAAAAAGCCTGGACTGTAAATACATAATATGTCACGTTTTGTGATTAGCAATTGCTGTCGCAATTGACAGAAACGCAAGACTAGAAATGTACGTCATGTTAATAAAAAAAAAATCCAATCAGCATTTGCAGAATATTGTTTGGGTAAACTGTTTTTCGATACACGGCAAACGTGCAAACCTGCATTACCAGCTGCAGCTGAGACAATACGGAAAGCATGCATTCCAGCGACTGGGGTCAGCGCATGCGCGCTGTAGCGCCTGTCCTCGTCCTCCTGTTCGGTCTTTTCCGTCGGCGCTCGGCTGGTTGGTGCAGTGCATGACGTCACCGTCTCCCGGAGTGTATTAATTCTGGTGGCGAGAGCCAAGCAGCTTCATTCGGGCAGAGAGAGCTGGTCGAGAATTTTTTACTTGTGTTTTTTTTTTAAAAGAAAAGTCGCCGACTTTCCACAGAAGGTAAGAGAATCATTAAAAATTCACACAGCAGCCGGGTTTATGCTGTTCATGAAGTAATGCTTTTTGTAATGTCCGTGAAAACGCTTGACCGCTTTCGCTTTTCGCAAGAGCTAAACGTCAAATGAGAGGCTTGAAGCTTACGAAAACAAAAGGAGGCTGTAAGTGTGATACTGAAATCGATATATTTTCTATAATGGTAGTATGCAGTACGTGTTGCGTGTAAGCACTGGTTCTGACAGCTGGTCACTCCTTGCTCGGTCGGCTCGCCTGCAGAAAGCGCACCCACCCCACGGCGGAGGAGCCCACGGCTGGGCAGTCGCGCTAGTTTGTAACGTTAGTGTGGGGCCCCCGGTGGGAGCGTTTAGGTCGCCCTGGCGACATTTGAAGCCCGCAATACGGACACTTTGTGTTTTGTTTTGTGTGTGTGTGTGTGTTTTTTTACAGTAAATACTGTCTTGCTTTATTCCGGTACTTGTCGTCCTGCGAGCTGCCGTGCCCGGCGGCAGGCAGCGGACATGTTGTTTTTTTTCTGACCCGCCCCGCTCCGCCAGCGGCTTCACTGGGCCGGGCTGACGGACCCGAGCCGAGCCGAGCCGAGCCCCGATCCGGCTGTGCGCGGCTGCACGGCGGCGGACCCGGCCGCACATGATGGCTGCCCGCCTGCAGACTGCCGTGCACGCCAGCGCCTCGTCTAATGGCTGCCTGGGCTTTTCAGTCGCGGCGAGGGGGCTTTTTGGGGTGCTCTCTCTCTCTCTGGGCACAGCCCAGCCTTCCCCCGGTGTTTCATCCCGGCTCTCCCGAGAAGGTCCCGCCAGGCGGCCAGCGGAGGTGGGATAGGGAGCCCTTCCAGCTGGCTGTTCCCAACGAATTGTTTTCGGAGTCTTAAAATATGCCGACCCCCCCACCCCACCCGTTTATTTTTATGAGCCATCTGCTCACAGTCCAGGGTAGGGGCTAACACTCCCGGGGTGTATTCCTGCTGTGGTTGTGAAAAGCTCCTGCTCTCCCCACTGGGGTGTGGCGCAGAAAGCCCTGGAAAGCGCACGAGGTGGGTGACCCCTCTGCTGTCCGGGCTGGGGCAGGACAGGGACATCCCTCATATGGAGAAACGCTGCAGGATACTGCAGCCGGTCTGTCTGTTTCCTGCTTTGTCTCCTGTCCTCTGTCTTCCGTCTCGGACCGTGCTTGACGGGCCCGAGTGCTGTGTCCCTCCCCTGGCAGGGGGCAGAGTGATGTTTCTGGCCCTGTAGCCTGGATGAGGAAGATCTCCATGCAGGGTGCGGAGCGATGGAGTGGTTTCTCTTCGTTCTGCGTAGGCAGCCCTGGCCTCCGTACTACCCTCTGCTACATGCCTGAAGATCTTTCTGTTTCTGCTGGAAATCTCACGAGTGTTAAATACAGTTTGACAAAGAGCCGTTCATGCCCTTCATGCCATTTCTCTACAGTACTTCAGGAATCTAGGGAGTGCCTGACATCTGCTGCCTGTGCCTCATCCTCTTTATAGCAGCGCTATCTGTACGTCTCCCTTATTTTCATTCTGTTATTCGTCTTTTTGTTCAGCATCCTTTTTATAGATCTCTTTTCTCATGTACTGACGCTCACACTCCTTATGACAGATCAGAGAAAACGGTGGCCAGTGGGGTGTGAAAGTTTATTTTAAAGATAAAACACATCGGTTTTGTCGTGACCCCTGCTCATATTCTTACAGTTCCAGCGAAACCCCTTCCCCCAGATTTGCCACCTTGATTCCGTTTTCGTTTTTTTTGTGCTTTCAGGGCCTGAGAATTGATTAGGACTGTCGGGACCGAGCAGGTGATCAGTCGTGCGTTTCGCAGCGCTGCGTTGTAACCGGCTTCCCAGCTGGCGCACGTTTGCTGTGCACAGGGGACAGGATGGGTGTGGCGCCTGTGCTCATCTTGAAACCCGCAGTTAGTTCAGCGGCGCTTCATCAAGGGGAGCAGTACCTCGAGCTCGGGTGTAAATTACCTGAGGGCTAAAACTTGGTCAGGGGGAATACGTTGGCGTGCTGCAGGTCCAGCGCGTTTCTCTTCGTGCGGGTTTTTAAATTCCCGCCCCGGGTCTCTGCTGCAGGGAGCTGTGCTCTCGTGGTGTCCTTGAGCTCGGGCACAGGCCTGCTGCAGAGGTTAACCCTTTGCCCCTCCGGGAGCCCGTGGTGCTCTGCAGCACTGTGGCAGGTGCTGTTTGGTCTAATGAGTCTTGAATCCGGTTTGACAAAGAGCTGTTTATACCATAATACTCTTCACTGCAGTAGTTCTGAAACCGAGGGAGTCCTTCAGAGCCCAAGAGTTCTGCCCCTTCTGTAGCCCTGTGGGAGCCTTCTGTGTCTCCTAGATGCCTGAGTGACGGATCGATTTAACGTTTCATCGGGCGGAGCAGAGAGTGCTCGGCACTTTTTCTCATTCTGCAAGGTAGCTTTTTGTTTTGTCCCACTTTGATTGCGGCGTTCGCAGCCCGGCTGTTCCTGTGCCTTCTGAAAGCCCATTTTTTTGTTTCCAGCTCGGCTCTTCTTTCCTTGCGAATCTGCTGTCTCATGGTGCCTTTTAGTTTAATTGTACTCGGTCGCTGTGGGGCTCAAGTTTCTGCTGGAAGAAGGGCTCTCGTCTCCGGCTGATAGGCTGCTGTTCAAAGCCTCTGGCAAAAGCTTGCTCAGAAAAGGAATCGGTAGCAGTATTGGATGTAAATGCAAACTTGTTCTCCTTGGTTCGCTGCAGGGTTTTGGGTTGGTGTAGACTTGCAGTTTTTAACGCTGGCGTGTTTAGTCAGTGAGGTACAAGCCCCTTTCGTCTCAGTGAATATGGAAACGGGATTTAAAAAAATAGAATTGCAATAAACCTCGCTGTTGCAAATTCATCCCCGAACTGATGAACGAAGTAGGCATTGCAGCTTCACTCTGCTTAGTGCAGTAGATGTCTTTCTTTTTCTTGAGAGCATAATTGTATTTCACCTGTTACACCCCGGATTTGAAAGAGCCATCCCTCATGCGAGTAGGATGTAAATGCGTTCAGAAGTGAATACCTAGAAAGCTTCTACAACACCTCTGGTGCTCTGAGAGCTCTGTGCCGTAGCGTGTGCAGAAGACGTACAGTGTACATGTTAAAGACATTGGAGTGACAGCACCTGTACGCGGCAATATATGTGCATGTTAACCATTGGTTTCCTTTTGTTTGCAAACACAGTATGTATACTGTGTGTGTGTGTGTGTGATCACATTTAGATCAGTACGTGTATAAGAATGTCTGTGCTTTATTTGGATTGCTTTGGGTTGCGTTTTTAATGCTGGAGGTGACGGGATAAATCTGTGTGTTCAGTTTGTCTTGTTTAACACTGCGTTTTTCAGTCTGTAACTGTGTCGTTGTGTCCTGTAGCCCACGGCAGCTACACCTGACATCATGCAGTCCACATTTCGTAAACCCAAACTGAAGGTACCGAGTGTCACACTTGTGTGTGTGTGTGTGTGCATGTGCCTTTTAACTGGGAGCAAACCTTATATGGGTGAGTTTATCATACGTGGGTGCAGAGTTGCTTCCAATTCCAATAAAATCGCTAGGTAACCCAGAAGATTTCTGGGACGTCGTGAGCTGTGCTGCTGGGGCTCGTCCTGCTCTGATGCTTGCGGTGTGAGCCGCATGTATGCGCTGGGTTTGACTTCGCATTGCAGAGGCAGTGCGTCGGGCTCTGGCGCAGGGAGTCGTGCTCTTGCTTTGCGCTTGCATTCATCCTGTGGACTACAGCAGCTCCTGCTCCAGGGCTCTCGTACTCCGCCTGTGATCTGTGCCAGGGCACTCCTCAGTCACGTCGGTCTCGGGCCTGGGCTCTCCCTGTGCCTTCTTCCTCCTGTTCCTCATGAGCTCTGGGTTGCCCAGATCTACTGAACCTTTCATTGAACTATTTGTGTTTAAAAATCAGTTTCAGCTCTTGAAAAGGAGGTTAGAAATTGGCATGAACCCTGTTCAGGGTTCCAACAGTTTATGATTTACGGTGGAGTTTGAGAAATGAGTCTGAGGCACCAGGACAAATACTTATTATGCAAGTGTCTGGTAGTCATTCCTGCCTGTTTATACATCATCTGATCCTTGATTTCCTTGTTTAGGAAGCTGTCTGAAAGCGCCGATTGTGTACCAAGCTGAAATTTCTGCTGCAACATTTTTTAGAAATAGTTGCGCATAAAGGAGATTTTCTGAAACTGAGATCCGAGTGCAGAACCCAGTTGGAACAAAAAGACGTGGGGCAAATAAAGGTTCAGCAGATGTAATTAATCCACAGCTCAACGGCAGTAAAAACTGATGGTTACTCCAGGAAAGGGCAACGCCGTTAGAGAGGTTTTGTAAATGAGGGTTAAAGAAAATGAGCTGATTGTGGCTGGCTGGAGAAAATCTGAGCAGGTGGTGGTAGATGATGCACTGCAGTACTGGGGAGAAATTGTGTGTGCCCTGCGATGGACTGGCGTCCTGGCCAGGGTGTGTCTTTGTGTGCCCTGCGATGGACTGGCGTCTTGGCCAGGGTGTGTCCTGCCTTGCACCGTTGCCTGCTGGGATAGACTCTGGCCCCGGCTGCCTTGTGTTGGGAAACGGACTGGACTTCGTTGTGAGAACGTGTTTCCTGGGTTTGCTCTGTGCTTGTGTTCCTTATCCAGCAGTTTGGTGTTGGTTTTTCTGTGTGTGCTGCATGCGAGTGTATTTCTGCACGTGGAAACAAACTGCCTCTTGGAACTTTTTTCTTCTTTGTTTTGCTCTTTGGGAAAAGGGTTGCTTTAATATTTTTAATGTCAGGGTTTGTCAATGGAAGGATTTCTCTTCAGTCTTCAGGTTCAGCTCAAGTTTATCATTAAATGTAAGTGTGCAGTTGAGTAAAGCACCCAGTGAAATTTTGCCTTTTGCTTTTCTCTGTATTGTGAGATGCAGTGTGCTGGGAGTGTTGCAAGACGTCTGTCCCCCCTGTAGTGGGGAAGCTTGAGAAAGGTGCAGTGGTTTATTAAAAACGGATCTTTTTTCTTATGTTCTTCATGGACTTTAAAGGTTTCTTGTGCCTTCTTAATAAAAACTCGTTATACACCATAATGAAAGGTGTGGGAGTCCGTGGGGTTAAATTAAGCGCAGTCCAGGGTGTCTGATGGTAGATGGCCTAATTTGCTCGGCACGAGCTGTTGAAAGTGTTTAGAAATGGCTGCAGGTGCGCAGATGACCAGATAGTAGTTGCAAATACTGTAGATGAACCATTTTCTAAAACCGCCCCATCGGACGGGCAGGGGAGTGACTCAAACACATCGGCTTCCTAGGGGACGAAGGGAGCAGGTCGGTGGGGGGAACAAGACGTTTAAGGTGTGGCCTCTCGGCAGGCAGATCCCAGCAGTCCTGTTTCCTGTTTTGCTCAGTTGCACTTCGGCCCCGGCCCCTGGAACGCGGATCGGAGGTGACCTCATCTGTTTCCTCCTGCTGCTTGGTTCTGCAGTCTGCTGGGTATTGTGGACAAGCACGGCCCTTTGCTGGCGGGTTAGAAATCCCAATCCCAGGCTGATTTATGCGTTTGGTTACGTATCAATATGAATTGATGTTACCTCAGATAATGACTCATTGTTGTTTGAATATTTTTTTGGGTGGTGCAAATATCTGCTATCTATTACTTCGTTATGGCCCTCGGCTCCAGTTTACAGTGAGCGCTGATCTGCCAGGCGTACGTCAGCGGTGATCGAATTCCTCAGGGACGGGGCGGCCTCTATAAATACCGTTGTCCTGTCCTGGAATGTGGAGCATGCAGCTGTAGAAGCCTGCTGGGGGGGAGTGGCTGGACAGGGGCACATCTCTTGCATGTCAGCTGATGGCTACATCCCTGGCATTGGAAGTCTCCTTTTTACTCTGAATTTATTTTTCAGCTGTAAAAGCAGCTTTTTTGAAAAGGTCTGGCCCCCCCCCCCCCAGGCCAATTGCGAGACCTCCTCATGATGGCTAAGCATTTGGAATGCAGCGGGTGTTATTTTTGTTGTGGGTTTTCAATAAACGCAAAATGCCTGTTGAAAAAGGGAGCTGCTAGCATCGTTCATCGCCCCTCTCCACGCACACGCACGCACACAGCTCCGCGCGGCGTGGAACGCAGGGGCGGCCGGCGGGGGCGGCGGAGCGCGCGGGGCTGGGCGTGGCCGGCGGCGGAGGGGCGCGCCGGCGGGCAGAAGCTTCCAGAGCCGGCCGCACGCTCGTTATCAGCGCGGAGGGAGGGGTCCGCGAGCCCTGTGCGAGCGGGGGGGGCTCGCGGGGGCTCACTCTGTCTGACTGGGGTCACGACCTCCCTCGCCTTCCCGACCGCGGTGCAGGCTTGGGCTGTTGTGGAGTGTGTAGTCAAGCCATCTTGCGAGTCCCTTTCGCTTTCAGAGGCAGCAGCTGGGGGCCGAGACGTGATCCAGTCAGATCAATTTCCGAAAGCGTTGCGACTCTCTTTTCGTTGATTTTTGTGAGCGAGAGTCGGGTTTGTGTTGGCCGTTGGTCTCCTTGAACTGACGTCCTGATGTCTGTCAGACCGGCAGGACTTGAGTTAGGGAGCTGCTCGGAATGGAAAAAAGAAATCCGGTAGTTTAGTGCTGCCCGGCGTGTGGTTTGTCAAGAGACTTGGAATCCGCAGCTATCTGAGGGAGAGCTCGGTGTGGATCTGAGTGGCCTTATCTGGCTGCTACAGCAGCTCCGTGCTGCACGGCGATACCTCGCTGCCAGCCAGCGTGACTCTTGCCTTGTCTGTCGTTCGTTAGTGGAGCCGGAGGCGCTGGCACTGCGGACCGGGCACTGAGCCCCATGCCTGGCGTAGGCAGGAACACCCCATCGTCACAGGTCTGGGTCCCGTAGGCACAGGAGAGTGGTCTGTGAGGGTTTGCAGTTAGCCGGCAGTGCGTTTTGGAGCAGTTCGCGTGGGGAGGGGGGGGGCTGCATGTCTCTGGGGGGTTTCTGACCTGTCGCAGGAGTGAAAATCCCAAAGGGCTTTGGTGGTTGATGAGATCTAGCAGGTTGCGGGTCAGTCAGGCCAGCAGTGCGTGAGGGGTTTTAGAGTGGGGGGTGGTCTGTCCTCCCTCTCGCCATGGCCAGCAGGAAGGCAGTGGCTCGGCTGTCCCAGCAGGGGAGGGGGAGGCCAGACGCCCGCGGCGCGGCCAGTCCTGACAGTTCCCCGTCCCTCCGGGCGTCCGCGAGAAGACAGCTGCACGACCTGGTGCCAGGAGAACAGGACTGCAGCACCTGCTTGCTTAGTGGAAACCAGCGTTTTCCTCGCGGCTTTGATGTGGTTCCAGCTGCTGTTTGAACGCAAGGCGCCGGCAGACATCTTTCATTCTCGAGTCATAGCTGGCACTTAGTCCTAGCCTGACTCATCCGGAGTCCTGCTCCTCAGATCGCAGCAGTGAGATAAAGGGAGGGACTTTGACACAGTGCTGCCACGGGCCTTTCATTTCTCTGCTGCACGTTCCTGCCCTGGGTCAGGGTTCGCTGTGAAGCGTCCCGGCGCGAAGGGCGGGGCTGAGCTGGGAGCTGCAGTCGCCCTCTGGGATCTCGGCCTGCTTGGCGTCTGTCCTCGGCCCGCCAGCTGTTTGTTAGCGTCTCGGCCAACAGCTGCTCCCCCTCATCTGGTGCCAGCTGGGAAAGCCATCAGGAGGGGGACAGGACAGCCGCAGGGATTCCTTTCAGCTTCATGAGAGAGTGAATAAAGAAAGTTCACAAGATTCTGATCAGGGAGAACCGAGATGTTGCCCGTTTCCCCTCGCTCTCGTTTAGAAGGGGGGCGTTCTCGCGAGTTAGCAGTGTAGCGTGTACCCCGTGTGCTTGGGTCGACAGCTCGTTTGGCTTTCTGCAGGTATTCACAGTTATGGTTGTGGAAAGCGGGGTTCTTCATTTTAAATTTAAACTTCTCCGTTGTGCCGCGTGAGGCATGTCAAAATCGCTTCCGATCTAATGCGGTGTGGTGATGCGCAAATACTGGAAAGGCCGCGAGACACAGTTAATAATTAGGGCTTTGGAGTTTGGGTCTGGTAAGCTTTAGGGACTGCTGGAAAGGTTATAAACAGAGCAAAATAAAACCCAGCAGGTGTGAGCAGCAGCTGAACGGTGTCCTTCTTTCCCTCCTCCCTCCCTTGTGGAGAAACCAGCTGGACACCGGTCCCTGGTCTCCAGCGGTGTTTTATTTGGGTTTTGTTTCACCTTTGGTCAAGTAGTGACCCTGATTATATTCCTAGAGGCGTATATGGCTCTCATGAAGGGCACAGTCGTTCCTCTTCTTAAGAGCAGCTCAGGGCCTGGCCGGAGTGTTGCAGTTGTCTGCGCGATGAGAGCAGCTCTGAGGGCGAGGCCCTCTGTGGGCTGAGCCGGAGACCCCTGCTGGCGAGACCCGGTACTGCGCCGGGAGCTCTGGGGGCCCCGAGTGTGACTCTCTTCCTGTGTGTGTGTGTGTGTGGGCTCAGAGGATGGACACCAGCGGCATGAAGGTGCTGGAGACGGCGGATGACATCCAGGAGCGCAGGCAGCAGGTGCTGGACCGCTACCGCCGCTTCAAGGAGCTGTCCACGCTGCGCCGGCAGAAGCTGGAGGACTCCTACCGCTTCCAGTTCTTCCGCCGCGACGCCGACGAGCTGGAGAAGTGGATCCAGGAGAAGCTGCAGATCGCCTCCGACGAGAACTACAAGGACCCCACCAACCTGCAGGTCAGGAGCCCCCGCCCCCGCCCCCAGGGCTCTCTCTGCGAATGGGGCCTTGAGCCCGGGAGGTTCGCGTGTGCTCTCTAGATAGAGGCCTCTAGCGTGTCCCATGTGGCTTCCTTTGTGTGAGGGAAATCCCGCAGTCCACACCGGACCTTTCCTGTATGCCCACGGCCGTCTGGAAAAGAAAAACTGGTCTCGCTGTCGCAGCTGCGTAGCTCGCTAATTAAGACCGTGTGCTGATGGCAGTGTTCCCCCCCTTTCCAATGCCTGGGGCCCTCTCGGATCCATGGTGCCCCGAAAAAAACCCGGATTCCTGACCGTTCCGCTGTGTTTCGGGACCAAGCGGATCCCGGGTGCCCCCCCGCGCGCGGGCTCCGCTAAAAGCGTCTTCCTCCTCTCGCGTCTCCAGGGGAAGCTGCAGAAGCACCAGGCCTTCGAGGCCGAGGTCCAGGCCAACGCCGGCGCCATCATCAAGCTGGACGAGACCGGGAGCCAGATGATCGCCGAGGGCCACTTCGCCTCCGAGATCATCCGGGTACGAGGCCGGCCGCCGGGAGCCACCGGGCCTTTCGGCTTATTTTGTTTTATTTTGAAAAGCTTTTCCTGTCACATTGGCGGTTTTTGTGGGTTTTGTAACACCACTGTCCCCCTCTGTCTGGTTCAGTCCTTCACACCCTACCGGACTGCCCAGCGGCCCATAGTAAAATCGGTCCATATCACTGCCTATATACAAGTAGGTGCCTGGGTGCTGTGGAGCTCTTCCTGTCCAGTTTCACCCCTCGCCTCTCCCTCTCCTCTGCTTCCCATCTCGAAAGTTTTGATTGCTGTGTAATTATGGATATTTGGTGCATCTGTCCTTTAAAATGTGTGGCAGTGAGTGGCCTCAGGCGTGGGTCGCTCACCAAAGCAGACGGAGGCTGAACTGTTTGTCCTCGGGGGTTGTTGCTGTTCTTCTAAAGATGGAAGAGCTCTTATTTTGTGGGCAGGGTCTGTGCATGCAGGTATTCCTGTTCTCGCTGTTTGAGACTGCCGTCGTTGGAGGGCTCGGTCTTCGTGACCGATCTCTCACTCCCAGATCTTGGATTTTGGGAAAAATACAGTATGTAAACTCATAAAGCTGAGAAGGATGGCAGACAATGATGGGGGAGAAAACCAGTTCTCAACAGCATATTGGCTTAGTAAAATTGGGCTATCGCGATCTCCAAGGCAAGTAGTAGAAAGGCTTTGAGTGCTGTGCCTCAGGCACATTAACCTGATCCCGCAGGAATGGGTGATGAAGTCAGTCTGGACACCCAGATGGGCGAGGCTCGGCGCCGGAGTGCTTCCTGGACCGGGCCTCTCCCTGCTTTCGAGGCTCGGCGCCGGAGCCCTCTCCGGACCGGGCCTCATGCCGCTCTCGGTTCCAGACCCGGCTGGAGGAGCTCCACCGTCTGTGGGACCTGCTGCTGCAGAAGACCAGGGAGAAGGGCGTGCGCCTGCTGCAGGCCCAGAAACTGGTGCAGTACCTGCGGGAGTGCGAGGACGCCCTGGACTGGATCAGCGACAAGGTGCGGCAGCTTTGGAGGGTTTTTAAAGAAGTGAATGTATATAGATATCATTTGTTTAAATATAAGTTACAGGTGTAATAAAAGATTCCGTTTTAAGGAACGGTGAAAGTGCCTCAGCATGTGTATCCCCGATCCTGGGCATAAATGTCTTCTTTCACCTGACACTGGCAGTCATGGGGGTGAGAGGCCATAGATTTTGCAGAGGGATTGTAGGGTAAATATTGGACACTGTGTTATAGCTGGAGCCTGCCTCTGTCAACCACTGGTAGATGTACAAGCCTACTTCTGGCTTTACTTTGTCGCAGACCATGTAGACCATGTCAGTTCTCCCCAGGAGCCGTCCTGTCGGTTCTGGGGACAGTTGCTCTCTTAGCGCTCTGATGGCCGCGCGTCTTTGTCTGGCAGGAGGCCATCGTGACGTCGGAGGAGCTGGGTCAGGACCTGGAGCACGTGGAGGTCCTGCAGAAGAAGTTCGAGGAGTTCCAGACTGACCTGGCCGCCCATGAGGAGCGGGTCAACGATGTCAACCAGCTGGCCGGCAAGCTCATCCAGGTACCCTGGGAGCGAGCTGCCTAGGTTCCGCAGGACTTCAGTTTTAATTGGACTGACTAGCTTGCATTGGGCTGGGCTCTTGTGTTGTATGTCTTTGGCAACAGTATGTAACTATCCTGGTTTATAAAGCCATTGTAGTGCTTCACTGCAAATCACTGCAGCCACCTGCAGGGTTAATGGTTTGTATCTCAGCTTGCAGAGTCCTCTCGCTTGCTCCTTGTGTCCGAGCTCTGGTTCCGTGAACGGATTACCCTTGGGCAGGCCCAGGGCTGTTGCGGATCCAGAGAGCGCTGGCCCAGCTGTTTTCCCTTGTTCACCATATATGTGCCCCCTCCTCCCCCGCGCAGGAGTCGCACCCCGAGGCGGAGCTGATCGTGAGGAAGCAGGACGAGGTGAACGTGGCCTGGCAGCGCCTCAAGGGCCTGGCTCAGCAGAGACAGGGGAAGCTGTTTGGGGCCGCAGAGGTGCAGCGCTTCAACAGGTGTGCTACCCCTGTTCTGGTCAGCCTGGTGAAACGGTCAGACTGGACCGATACCTGCCCAGTCCTCACACGTGCTTTATAAGTGTAGATTGAACTGCACAGGAAATGATCTGACCACTCTGTGCCGTGGAGTTTATACATCAAGTAAATAAAATATTAGGAGGACAGATTACATTTTCTAGTGTGATGTATATTTGCAGATGTGTGTTGTGAAAAGATGGTTGGGGAATGTAATTTGTATTAAAAATGGTTTTATGTGTTCTCTAAAATAATAAAAAAAGAATGGCCGGCGCTCACCTCCCTTGCCCGGCCTCTCCGCAGGGACGTGGACGAAACGATCAGCTGGATCAAGGAGAAGGAGCAGCTGATGATGTCGGATGATTTCGGGCGCGACCTGGCCAGTGTCCAGGCCCTGCTGCGCAAGCACGAGGGGCTGGAGAGGGACCTGGCCGCGCTGGAGGACAAGGTCAGTGCCCGAGGGAGCCGTCTCGCGCCTCCGCAGGCGGTCATCTTGTGCGGGACCGCTCCTCTGTCCAGGGCAGAGCCAGAGACTGTAACTTTCCAAATGAATCTCCAGCATTAAGCCTGTATTCTCCTGAGGGCACTAGCTGTCGTACAACATGGTGTTAATAACATCTCGTAAGGAAGTTCATGCACTTCCTTTCCTTTCTTTTCTTTTTCGGACTGTAGGGAGGCATGTCAGAAGTGGCTCTGTCAGAGTCCTGTGGTGTAACTGCCAGGGCTGCGGGTTGTGAGGCTGCACAGTCCTTCAGCTTGGTGACTCTCTCCCCGTCTCTCTCTCTCTGGGAGCAGGTGAACACCCTGGGGGCCGAGGCGGAGCGCCTGCAGGAGACGCACCCCCAGAACGCCTCGCAGATCCACCTGAAGAGAGACGAGCTCATCACCAACTGGGAGCAGATCCGCACGCTGGCAGCCGAGCGCCATGCCCGCCTCAATGACTCCTACAGGTAGCGTCATCTCGTCCGGAGTAGCAGGTAGCAGTTCAGGTTTTGAACTGAGGCCTCGCTCACGCCTGCCCTGGACGTGAGAATGAAATGATGGGGAAAGTCCGGGAATTGGAACAGGGCCTTACAGATGCCTGAGAGACCCAGGCACGTGCTGGGATTCGGTGCGTGGTGGAAGTTGTCCGTCTCGAGCTTTGCGCTGCCCGTTCTCCCAGGCTGCAGCGCTTCACGGCAGACTTCCGGGACCTGACCAGCTGGGTGACCGAGATGAAGGCCCTGATCAACGCCGACGAGCTGGCCAACGACGTGGCCGGAGCAGAAGCACTGCTGGACAGACACCAGGAGCACAAGGTACTTGCACGGCTGCAGGGAAGAGTTACGGTTTGCCACTGGCAAGCAACGGAGGCCTTTGTCCTGTAGCAGGACTGTCTTCCCTGTATTATGTGTCCTGTAGTTGGATTTATTCTGTCAATGAGAGCTTTCAGAATCTGTTGAACATGTTCTGCATGAAAGCACAGGAATGGGATTTAGTGACAAATGTTTTCAGTTTGGTGAGAGGGGGAAAATGCTTTCGTCATGTTTTGTGTTTCTCTCTCATTTTAAACCAAGTTTAAATTGCAGGAACGGACCTCTTTTGTATCTGCGCATTCAACAGTTATGGTCAGGCCCTTGTTGCAGCACTGACCAGCGTTTCAGCTGTTCGGCTGAATCTCCTTGCTGCTGTCTTTCCCCAGGGAGAGATTGATGCACACGAAGACAGCTTTAAAGCCACAGATGAGGCTGGCCAGGCTCTGCTGGCCACAGGACATTATGCTTCCGATGAAGTCCGAGAGAAGGTAACGGGACATTTCACAGCACTTGCGCTATAAAGAAGACGTACTAGCCTCATAGTAAATACCTTTTGTATGAATCGGTGTTATCTAGCTGTGGTAGATGCACTATCTTCTGCAAATATCAAGCCATTTGCTCACGTTGTAATATTTACACTTTATATTTATTAAAAGCAATCATGGTAATAGTAGACTGTACTGTAGACTGGCCCAAGTATGTTGCTTGAGAGTTTATGATTACAAGATTAAGCAGGTCTAGTGTCCCGATGCATACGAGTTGAGTAAAACCAATTATTTTGGCCATATTAATGAGAATACAAAGAACTCATTAGCTGCCTTGGAAGCATGATTTAATCCAGTTACCTCCTGTTGAAGTAGTCCATATCCAGCCTGGAGATGGGTGGGATTGTGATGTTCCTCAGCCCGCACTGTGCTGCTCTGCTCATGGTGTGTGTGTGGGGTGTGTCTCTGCAGCTGGGCATCCTGGCGGAGGAGAAGGATTCTCTCCTGGAGCTCTGGGAGCTGCGCAGGCAGCAGTACGAGCAGTGCATGGACCTGCAGCTCTTCTACAGGGACACAGAGCAGGTGGACAACTGGATGAGCAAGCAGGAGGTGAGCTGGACAAACATCCCGGCTCCGCTTACACTGACCAAGAGGTGTCTGTTTGAAACTGACCGCTGGTGCCTTCTGCCCTTTTCGAGTCCTGTTAACATCCTGGTGGTTTTGTCCCAAAGTATAGATTTTTTCAAGCAAGACAGACCTCTGCAAAGCAAATGGTTTATTTCTGCAACTGCATATATGATTTTATAAAAGCAGTTCTGATATTATTTTACTAATGCACAGAGAAAGTTCCGATCCTTCACCAAAGAGCTGTAGGACACTGTGTGAATTGTTGCGTGTTCCTGTTTTCTCAATGAAGGCGTTCCTGCTGAATGAAGACCTCGGTGATTCTCTGGACAGTGTGGAAGCCCTGCTGAAGAAACACGAGGATTTTGAGAAATCCCTCAGTGCCCAGGAGGAGAAGATCACCGTGAGAATTTCTCATTCTTCACTGTTATATGTTCATGTGTTTTTGACAGTCATCATACTAACACAACGATGGGTTTGTTCCAGGCGTCAAAGCATCACTGTTTTTTAGGGAAAATAATCTGTGTGTTTGTGTACACAAATGCTAGTGGAGAATTTGGTTAACACATGCAGTGTACGTGACACGCCTTTGTTCCTGGAAGCGCTCCGGTATGGTGTTTTGTTATTCTGGTCCATTTTGAGTCCCGGTTTGCTGACTCTGAAGATGACCATTCCAGTCCCTTCGTGTGGACCCGTTTTCTATGGCACTGCTTGCGAGTCTTTTTCTTTTTCTTTCCTTTGCAATGTTTAGGCTTTGGATGAGTTTGCTACCAAGCTGATTCAGAACAACCACTACGCCAAGGAGGACGTGGCGACGCGCCGAGATGCGGTAAGCGGCCGCGTGGATTTTAAAGACCTCAACGCGCCTTCCCCCCGCCGCGCTGCAGCCTTGTCCAAACTAGCGTCCTCATGCGTCTTGCGGTTGTGCGCTGTCCATCGCACAGGAGTGATGGACGTTTCCTGAAATTACTAATTTGGTTACTTAGTGCATTCAGAGGCACGTTGCGCAACTTTTCTGTCCTTGTGTACTCCTCGTTTCTATTGAAAGAGCGAAGGGACAGGCATCGTTTTTTGATGGAGCCCGTCTTGATTTGACCGAGGTGTTATCGAGGCTGGTCAGTTTTAGCTGGGCGGCGGGCGTGTGCGGTACCCTGCTGTGAGTGTTGGGCTGACGGCCCGTCTCCCTGTGCCCCCGCGCAGCTCCTGAGCCGCCGCAACGCCCTGCACGAGCGCGCCCAGTCGCGCCGCGCCGCCCTGGAGGACTCCTTCCACCTGCAGCAGTTCTTCCGCGACTCGGACGAGCTCAAGAGCTGGGTCAACGAGAAGATGAAGACGGCCACCGACGAGGCCTACAAGGCAAGCTCCGCCGAAGGCCCTCGTCTCCCCTTCCGTCGCCTGAAATATCCTTGTACCCTCCTCTTAGCATGTTTTCGGAGGTGTCGGCACTGATGACCACATGCATTTCAACCCTCGAAACCAGAAAGGGGGATTATTAAACTGGGGGGCCTGTTTGCACGGCACTTTTGCAGAGTTCAAGAAAGCAATGCTGCACAAATGCACGCCATTGATGGTGTCAGAACTAGAAGGTATTGGGGGAATTCCGTAACCCTGCCGGAAACACTTTGTTGTAATTAATGGCTTCATGCCTCTCTCTGTCGTGCTGCCTGCTGCTTTCAGGACCCCTCCAACCTCCAGGGCAAAGTGCAGAAGCACCAGGCCTTTGAAGCCGAGCTCTCGGCCAATCAGAGCCGCGTCGACGCCCTGCAGAAAGCGGGACAGGAGCTGATCAACGCCGATCACTACGCCTCCGGCGAGGTGTCGGGGCGCATGGAGGAAGTCAGCGCTCTCTGGAAGAAGCTCCTGGAGGCCACGGAGCTCAAAGGTGAGCCGTCCCGCGGTCTGCTGACCGGAAGAGATGTGGAGTCTTTCTGAATAGAGATGTGCTGCTTTCTGGAAGGCCTCATGGGCTGTACCCCACGGCTGGCGTCAGGCCTTTGTACGAACATTTGTAATTTTGGGGGGGGGGGGGTTGGCACATTGTAGTTTAATCCAGTTGCCTGTCATGTTCTTTTTGTTGAAAGTACAGAACGGATTTGAATTCCGTCAGCGTCTTGCAGTTTGGGTTCTGTTGTCTATAACCGTAAATAAATCGACGTTTAAGAACCGGCCCTTCACTCCCCCGCCAGGAATCAAGCTGCGCGAAGCCAACCAGCAGCAGCAGTTCAACCGCAACGTGGAGGACATCGAGCTGTGGCTGTACGAGGTGGAGGGTCACCTGTCCTCCGACGACTACGGCAAAGATCTGACCAGCGTGCAGAACCTGCAGAAGAAACACGCCCTGCTGGAGGCCGACGTCACGGCTCACCAGGTGCCTCCTCTTCCTGTTCTTGTTTTCCCCTGGGATGGCAACGTCGGGCTGCAGCATCTAACGCGTAGCCCTTCTCTTAACAGGACCGCATCGACGGCATCACCATCCAGGCACGCCAGTTCCAGGAGGCGGGTCATTTCGACGCCGATAACATTCGGAAGAAACAGGAGGCCCTCGTTTCCCGCTACGCGGCCCTGAAGGACCCCATGGTGGCCCGCAAGCAGAAGCTCTCGGACTCCCTGCGCCTGCAGCAGCTTTTCCGGGACGTCGAGGATGAGGAGACTTGGATCCGTGAAAAAGAGCCCATCGCGTCGTCCACCAACAGGGGTCAGTAGTGAACACTGGGCCTGGGGTTCACGAGTTCTGGCTGCAGCTTCTCCAGGGCCTCACTCCTAAACCCTCAAAATTTCATAAAAACTTTTCCTCCTCCCCACCAGGCAAAGATCTCATCGGTGTCCAGAACCTGCTCAAGAAGCACCAGGCTCTGCAGGCCGAGATCGCCGGACACGAGCCCCGGATCAAAGCCGTCACGCAGAAGGGGCAGACCATGGTGGAGGAGGGTAAGAGCCACAGAACCGCAGGGCCGCTGCGCTGTGGTCCCTCGCTTGGACTTGAATTCGCGAAATCACATGCAGTAATCGGTCCCGTGGAGCCAACTCTTTTCTGTGTCCCAGACCACAGCTGGGAAAAACGCCCGATCCGTTGTAGAATTGTGCAGATAGTACCAGAAACGTTTCTTTCCATCTCTGAAAAATGTCAGGCTCTACGTTCAGGACCCTCGGGTGATTTTGAATCCCTGTCGTTCCCTGTATGAAGTGTGTAGTTCTTCTCGCACGTGCGATGCTTTAGGGTTAAATAAAAACCCACTCGAACCCTCGCGCCTGACGGCGTTTCGTCCGCTTCCCCAGGCCACTTCGCTGGGGACGAGGTGAAGGCGAAGCTGGACGAGCTGAACGGCCGCTGGGAGGCGCTCAAGGGGAAGGCGTCCCAGCGCAGGCAGGACCTGGAGGACTCCCTGCAGGCCCAGCAGTACTTCGCCGACGCCAACGAGGCCGAGTCCTGGATGAGGGAGAAGGAGCCCATCGTGGGCAGCACTGACTACGGCAAGGACGAGGACTCGGCCGAGGTGAGCCGTGGGTGGGGGGGAGCGAGAAGGGAGCCGAGGGACAGCGGCTCTTAGCGGGGCTGAAGAGGAACGGCCCAGCACTCGCCATTTTAGTCAAGGGAGTTCCGAAACATTGGAGTGGTAACAAATAAAATTCACAGCAAACTGGTAAAATGAAGGTATTGTAAAGTGAAATGAATCTGCCTCGCTTCACGTCTTCAAAGGCTCACTCCAAAGTGCAGGAGCGTCTCGCAGGTGGCAGGAACGATCCAGAGAGCTAGACACCCCCCGTCTCCCTTTACCAAACCCCCTCCGCCAAACGTAGGAAAGAGAAGGAGTGAGGACAAGGTTGCAGCTTGTATCCTGCAGTGTGTGTCCGGTACTTCATGCCGGAATAACGACTAGACGTCAGTTTCACACTTGTCTCGTGGAGCTGCGAGAGCAGTCGAGGGGTCAGCTCGTTGTGTTGTTGGCAGCTGCTGAAAATGATGGGGAAAGTGAGGAGTGCTGCTCATTGGCTGGGCTGAGGAGGGAAGGCTGTAGAGGTGATCTGGGGGTTATTTGTCTTGGAGTGGAGTAAAGGCAGTAAACTCTAGGAAAGGTCAGCTTGATGGGGGTTTGAGGAGGGGTCAGGAGGGAGTGGAGGTGAGGGGGGGGGTGGTAGTTCATGCAGCCTGCAAAGCGCAGGAATGAGCGCGAGTTTGCGATCGGAGCGATTGGGTCGGCCGCCGAAAGCCCAGCTCACGTTCGCCCCTTGCCCCGCAGGCTCTCCTCAAGAAGCACGAGGCGCTGACGTCGGACCTGAGCGCCTACGGGAGCAGCATTCAGGCCCTGAAGGAGCAGGCGCAGTCCTGCAGGGTAAGACCAGAAATGCTCTCCTCTTCTTGGGCTCTAGGAAGGCAGAGCAAGTGGGGAAATGGCCAGTCGGGGGCAGTAATGAAAGATAACATTTGTTAGAAGTATTAGAAGGTAAAGTGTCACGCCCATGTTGTGTTTTAAACAAATGCAATGAGACCGTGTGTAGACCTTTCTCTTTATAATGTTGGCATCGCTGCCATGCTTGGTTTTGAATGTGGGGGTCCAGGCTGAAGGGTCCGAAGCTTACTGGAGTTTAAGGGGCGATGGGTGTGGGCAGAGACCCTCTCGGGGTCAGTACCGTAGAGGCATTGCTCTGCGGCTCCGCTCCTTGCCTTGAGCACCCCGTCTGTTCCCATCCGAAACAGCAACAAGTGGCGCCCACCGACGACGAGACGGGGAAGGAGCTGGTGCTGGCGCTGTACGACTACCAGGAGAAGAGCCCCCGTGAGGTCACCATGAAGAAGGGGGACATCCTCACTCTGCTCAACAGCACCAACAAGGTACCGCCCCCCTCCCGGCCGCGTGCCCCCGAGACCCCCCCAGGCCGGGAGGCTGATGATCTGCCCGTCCCCTCCCCGCAGGACTGGTGGAAGGTGGAGGTGAACGACCGCCAGGGCTTCGTCCCGGCCGCCTACGTGAAGAAGCTGGATCCCACCCAGTCCAGCTCGCGGGAGAACCTGCTGGAGGAGCAGGGCAGCATCTCGCTGCGCCAGGAGCAGATCGAGAGCCAGTAAGGGAGACCCGGCGCTTTCCCCGGGGGCCGCCGGCGTCCGAGAGCTTCCCGAGTCCCTCCGGCGCGGCCTTGCCGCGTTCCCGGCGCTCGCCGTTCCAGTTCTGCGCGGTTTTGCGAGGGCCGAGGGAGTCCGATGAGTTCAGATACATTAGTGTAGCAACGAATAGGACTCAAAGCGTGTTAAAATTAAGGTATTTTAGTGTCAGACGGATTCATTAATCTCGCTTCACATCTAACTCCGAAGTGCGGTGGTGTCTCGCAGCTGCCCGCGCGGAGAGGCGCGGTCCCTCTCTGTGTGCTTGGGAAGTGGCGTTTGCTTTCACGGCAGGCAGGTGTGGTATGCCTAACTCCCTAACCCTCTCCGGCTGCTCCCGTTTCTCCTGTCTAGCTCCGCTCCACCCCGCGAGACCTCCTGCTCTCTGGGTCCTTGCTTCTGCTCTCTCTGGTGCTTGGCTCTTCTCTGAACCACTAATGCCCGCATGCCTCTGCTGTGCTTTCCCTCTGTCTGTGCAGGACTCTCGTTACTAAGGAGGCCGGCAGCGTTTCTCTCCGCATGAAACAGGTGGAGGAACTGTGAGTAAGACCTGTCTGCCGCCCCATGCGGTCTCGATCAGCCCAGCTCATTCACTTTTTCCCCTCAGCTGCCTGTGCTTCCTCTGCATAGCGCTTCTATCATCACCTGAATAGAAGCCGTCTGATCTCTGTCTCGGTGTCTGTTGTGTTGGGTTTTTTGTTCATGTGAGTTTGGAATAGGATTGATGTGCATTTTATTTTATTTCTGTGTGTAGACCCCCCTCTCTCGGGCCACTGGGGGACGTGTTCAGTAGTTTAATAAACTGTCACTGGTTGGTTCTTGTGTGTAGTTAAGCCACTGGGTGTTAAAAATTCTGAGCTTTGGGGAAAAAAACTGGAAATATAGGAATTGAGTTCTTTGCTTCCTTATTTCAAGCCGTTGTGGTGGTATTTCTGTGCTTATATGCAGTACTTCCTTCTCAGTAAACCACCACCAGTCTAAGTGAATGGTCTCCAGCCCTCGGCCTGGAGAACGCCAGTCCAGCAGGTTTAATAGATTCCTGTTTTCTGAAAATTTTGAAGTTTCTCGGATCATTTAAGCAGGAGGCTTGCTAAATTAAGAGTTTGTCCTATACGCTCTCTGAATTTCTTATTTGCTAAGGACACCTGTGAGAACTTAATCTCAACAGATTACCTGATTAAACAATCAGTGTCCCGATTAAACAAGTGTCCTCAGGTTTTAGACGCAGATGACCTATAAAACTAACTGGGCTGGGTTTCTCTGTGACCAGGACTGGAGAACTGATTTAAACGAATGGCCTCGTTTTCTGAAGCCTTTGGAAGAGTTCACTACAGAGTCCTTTACTGTTGAGGAAGAGGGCTCTGTTGTTAATAGCTGCTGGAACAGCCGTGCAAGCCTGGAAAACGCAAAGCAGGTTGTGCAGGAACCAACAGCTACACGCTTCATCGCTCATTCATTGCCATTTTTTAAGTTGTTAATTTGCTAAATTTTCCGTTGCTAGATTTTTTTTTTTCCAGTGTGTTTTGTGGGTGACTTTCTTACGGTGGTGTTCTGAAGCCGTTTAAATCCGATCGCAGCCCTGCCTGTTCATGAATAGGCTAGGTAGGATCAGACGTTTAAGCCATGTGCAAAATATTGTAAACGCGAGCCTCTTGAAATGAAGCGTTAGCTTGATTGATCTTTTATAGATATTGAAAATGCAAATACCTGAGCATCAGAAGATGTGTGATGGGTTAACGTGTTCAGTAACCCCACACACACCCAAGCTTGAGAGATAAAACGAAGCAGTTCACAGCCGTTTCTGTAACTGCTTCACCGCTCATTAATAGACAACGACTGCTTTACATTTAGCCTGACCGCCAGGGGTCAGAAATAGGAAGCAACCGGCTGTTGACCGAGGTGGCTTGAGCAAAACGAGCACCTCCTTGGCGTACCGATCCTGCCGAGTCCCTGCATGACGAGGGCGCGGTGCCGCTGGCCTGCAGGTGTGCCAGCCCCCTGAGCCCGCCTTCCCCCGCCCTGCAGGTACAGCGCCCTGCTGGAGCTGGGCGAGAGGCGCAAGGACATGCTGGAGAAGAGCTGCAAGAAGTTCATGCTGTTCCGCGAGGCCAACGAGCTGCAGCAGTGGATCCACGAGAAGGAGGGGGCGCTGCACACCGAGGAGGTGGGCTCGGACCTGGAGCAGGTGGAGGTCCTGCAGAAGAAGTTCGATGACTTCCAGAAGGTAGACGCATCTCTTTCCACTGGAGGGGGGGGGTCGAACGTCACCCGATTCTTTTTCTGTTCGCACCTGGGGCCCCACGTCTCCATGACGGACCTGTTCTCATCGACTCTGCCTGGTGATTTGTAACGGAGGATCCCAAACTTCTTAAATGTGAATTTTCTGCTGTCTCCCCATCATTCCCAGTGTCTAAACTGGGATTCGCGTTGTTATGCTCGTGCCGTGAGTAAGTGGTCTTCGTGCTCTTGTCTCGGTATTGCTGTGGTGTGGCGGGGACGCGTGCTGTACACAGGGATGGCTTTGCAGTGTGCAAACGGGAGCCTGACGCCGCGCTCTGTTCTGCAGGACCTGAAAGCCAACGAGTCCCGCCTGCGGGACATCAACAAGGTGGCGACAGAGCTGGAGTCCGAGGGGCTGATGGCGGACGACGGGGCGGTTGTGGCTCAGACGCAGGTGAGCTCAGGCAGGCAGTGAACCCCCGGACGGAGATTTTTCTCCCTCCCTGAACAGGCTGTAGTGGCTGTAGGCCCAGCTGTAGCTTGCAGTATCACTCCCCAGATTAAGACTTGGCGCGTTTTGTCCTGGATCTGTTTTAGCACATCTTGATCGTTTGCTTCATGTTTCGGGAGGAATGAAGCTTTGGGAGGAAATAATTACCCGTTTAGGCTCTAAAGATTCCTCAAATCCCTTTCCTGACAGGAGGCTTTGGGATCGGCAAGGGATGAAGCCGACTCGAAAACCGCCTCGCCTTGGAAGGTAAGACGCGCTTGTTTCCTGCTCTCCATTAAAGGTCTGACTTGGCTAAGCAGGCCTGGTCATCTTTTAACATTTAAAACCATTCTTTCGCCATCAACTTGCATATTCTTCCATTTCAAGACCATTGCATGAACTCTTATTTGACAGCACGATTTTACAAATGATGATGATGGTGATGTGTGAATCATGCTGGAAAGATTGTAGTCATCAGCCATTTCCAAAGTCATACTCTAGTTTTGTGCCACGGAAACCCTAATGATCGTGAGCTAAGCTATGACCTGCATGATCCTATAGCTGAAGACTTCTTTTAATTTAGATAACACCCCTTTTCCAAACGCAGAACATTAAACAGGTGTAATGTGAAAATGCTTAGGTTTGGGTAGAAGGAAGTGCATTGTGTTTTTAGTGTTTTTAGTTGATTTTTGAGTTGCAATAGCTAGAAGATCTAAAACATTTTACTCAATACTCTGTGTTCTGTAATTTTTTAATCAAAGCATTATTTTGAAATCTGGAAAATTCACCCTTGGTGTTTGCTATAAACTTTGTTCCACAGTGGGTTTTTATCCAAACTGGAAATTTTTCACTTCTTCCTAAAACCCTCTCCCAGTATCATACATGACTGCCTTTTTTCATTTCCATTTCATCTTTCTCCAGTGGGTAACACTGTTCAGGGCTGGATTTAGAGGGTTTTACCGTTTGATTCAGCAAATATAAAATGTATCTAATTTGAATATAATCTCCTTGAACAAATTAATTTTGGATATAGTACCAGATGGGCAAAATCATCTGTAATGAAACGTTATGGATAATTTTGCCAGGATTGATATCTCAAGTATTTATCAATACGCCACTATAGTCTCTTTTTTTTCCCCCAAAGCCTTAATCCTCAGTCCTGCACAGATCTTCATTTATAACATTATTCATTGCATGCTTCTACGTATCGGGTGGTGGGATCTTCATCTACACTGATGACAGATGTCTAAACACATCGTGCTCTCGGAGCACCTGTAGTGAATCTTCTGATTGGTCTGGTTTTTTGTTTCCCCTCTTCTCTGTCTGCTCTTATTTGGATGTAGTCTATACGCTTGACAGTACAAACGGTGACTAGCTTTAATACCATCAAGGTAAGAGTCCCCTGCCCCCTGTCCTGTATCCTCTGTCTGCTCAAGACCCCTTCCCTTCCTCGTCTCTCCTTAACACGCGCTCCGCATGAAGGCGAATGCATCCACTTCCCTTCTTCGCTCGTGTGTTCTTCCATCTCATTCCCAGTGTGCTCCCAGCTTCTGCGCCTCCTGCACGGAGATGCGTGCCGGGGGGGCATGGTGCCCACCTGGCCTGTTCACTCATTAGTGGCTGGTAGACCCCATCCAGATGTGTCGGGTCTGGGAGAACACCAGGGTGGCAGCTGCAGCTTATTCCCTCGGTCCTGTTGGCCCACTGACCGCCCGCAGGATTGTGGTGACGTGTTAGTGGGACCACAGCGTCTGCAGTGTGATGCACGCTTGCCTCTGCAGGCACGGACTGCTCTCGCTGTGCCACTCGGACTGTTTCCAAAATAATTAATAATTACGAGATGGATTGATCCAAATTGTTCAGTTTTTTTGCCTAAAGTCGAAGACTGACGACTCGGTTCTAAGGGGGGTAAATTACTATACAGGTTCTCATATTGCCACAAAATGTTGTCCATCTGCCTCATTGCATTAACCTGCTGAGACCCATTCCCCCTCCTGCACACCTGTGTGTCGTTCTCCTCTGGCAGTCCCAGCTTACCGTCTCGTCTCCTGTGGTGTTGTCGCCCTTCGGTCACCGTCGTTGATTTCCCGCTGAAAAACCGTGCGTGTGCCTTTTCGTTTTTGTTTGCAAATGAATAACCCTCGTCTGTACAGACCGGTTTGCCCGTGTCACTCCTAGAAATCGGGGTACCACCAGCAATGGTCTCATTCAGAACTAAAAACTTCATTCAAAGGCTGCAAAGGGGAATTTAAGATGGGCACTTGGTAAAGATATCTTTTTAAAAATCGCATTTAGTCGTGCAGTTTGTCAGCTTCGCTCCGTAACAACTGCCCGAACCCTAATAGCCAATAGGGTGGATCCCTGGGGCTTCAGCGTACCCCTGGGGGCTTGCTGACTGCCTTTAACCCCACCTCGTCTCCTTTTCCCCTCCCTCTCAGGAGCTGAACGAGCGCTGGAGGTCCCTACAGCAGCTGGCGGAGGAGAGGAGCAACCTGCTGGGCAGCGCCCACGAGGTGCAGCGCTTCCACAGGTGCCACGCGGACGCCCCTCCGTTTCTCCTGCAGCCCTCTGCTGCTGCGTCTTTAAACTGACTCGCTCTCGCCTTCAGCCTGCTACGTTTTTAATGGAAAAGCTTAAACCCTTACGGGCTTCGTTACCATTTTTAAAATGTATAAATCTTTTTCTTTCCCCATTTAGTGGCGTAGATGCATTTGCTTAGTGGTAATTTCTCTGATGCATCTATTGTTTTAAAATGTTTCTGCCGGCTAAAAAATGAGCAAGCGCGGCCTTCCCTTCGTTAGTTCCTCTGATTCCTGCCCTCTTGCGGGCTAAATTTGTCCGCCGTATTTGTTAGTCCGGCCTGGAGTGTCCTGGCTCTTGTCGCGGTCCGCTAACGCGCGCTCACTGTCCAGGGACGCCGACGAGACCAAGGAGTGGATCGAGGAGAAGAACCAGGCGCTGAACACCGACAACTACGGTCACGATCTGGCCAGCGTGCAGGCCCTGCAGCGCAAGCACGAGGGCTTCGAGAGGGACCTGGCCGCGCTCGGAGACAAGGTAACGCCTGGACCGCCGCCGGCAACAGGGGCCTGATGTAGCCTGGCTCTGGGGACGGGGTCCCTTTTTCTGGACCGCGGCAGGGACACTCCTGCAAAGAGGTAGCTCCAGTCCAGGTGTCCCACAGCAGCAGGAGGGGCTCCGGGTGGGCTGGCTGACGTTTCCAGCAGTAAACCGTTGGAAAGCTGATGGTTCAGCACTGGGGGCTTCTGTATTTGCCCCCCCCTTGGCTTGATTGGATCCAGTCCTGTTGTACAGTAACTGTGATGGAACTCTCTACCTTTCAGGTCTGTAGCTCCGAGATCCAGCTGTGTGGTAGTTCCATCGTAGCGGACTCTCTTGAGGATCCTTTGATAAAAACCTGGGATCGGTTTCCACATTCCACATCCGGAATGATGTGAATTTTTTTATTTATTTACTAAAATAGAGGAATATTATTCCTAATGGAATTGTTATTATCCAGTGCCTGTGTCTGTGTGTGCCCTGGGATGGACTGGTGTCCCACCCAGGGTGTGGCCTGCCTTGGCGCCTGTGGCCTGCTGGGATAGGCTCCAGCTCCCCCGCAGCCCTGAATTGGAGAAAGTTGTTAGCAGACGGAGGGATGGACTTCACTAGGCCCAGGGGCTGAGGATAGCCTGACCTTCCACGGCTCCGTTCTGGGCGGCATGTCGGCTGCAGGTGAAATGCACACGATTTCAACACCCCGCGCTGTGGCGTCGCCGTGCAGGTGAACTCCCTGGGGGAAACGGCCGAGCGGCTGATCCAGTCCCACCCCGAGGCCGTCGACGACATCCAGGAGAAGTGCACGGAGCTGAACCAGGCCTGGACCAGCTTGGTGGGCCGCGCGGACCAGCGCAAGGAGAAACTGGGCGATTCCCACGACCTGCAGCGCTTCCTCAGCGACTTCAGGTAACGGGGGGGTGACCGGGGCACAGGCCAGCCGGATTAACGCAGTCCCCCAGGAGGAGAAACGTGCCTTGTTCGGGAAGCAGAGCGCAGAGCCAAGAGTCGAAACAGGTTCTGAAAGCTCCTGGTGCATGATCGTGGTCCACACACACACACACGTAATGGAGTGTATGCTCAACTGTTTTGAGCACAGGCTCCGTGACCTCACAAAGATTTGGGTTCTTGCGTCTTGTGAAACTGTGCTAATCTGTGCTGGAAGAGCGCAGCGGCTGAGCAGCACTGGTGTGTATCTTCCTCTTCAGGGACCTGATGTCCTGGATCAATGGAATCCGTGGACTGGTGTCGTCGGAAGAGCTGGCCAAGGACGTGACGGGGGCTGAGGCTCTGCTGGAGAGACACCAGGTACTGCAGCCCAGCGCAGCTCTCAGCCTGTGGCCACTGATCGGAGTCGAATACAGGGCAGGCCTGGACGGGGATACGCCCTAAACGGCACACTATAAATGCTTCTGCATTCTTCTGTTTCTTTCATTTCATTCAATGAAAAGTTATTTTCATTTTTCCAACCACCTGTCTTCTGTGATAAAGATTTTAGGCTCTGAATTAGTTCCGATAAACACACTTCAGCTGTATATTATCGATCTGGCTCCCCTTTGAGCCTTTCTTCTTCTGTTTTTGCAAATGGAACTAAAGGCTTTTTTTCTACAATGTTGAAATTCCTGTCGATGTGGTGGAATTCCTTCGCTGCTAAGGTGCTGCTCTTTGTTCCCGGCTGTGTGCAGGAGCACCGCACCGAAATCGACGCCCGGGTCGGCACCTTCCAGGCCTTCGAGCAGTTCGGGCAGCAGCTGCTGGCCCGCGGGCACTACGCCAGCCCCGAGATCAAGGAGAAGCTGGAGCTCCTGGACCATGAGCGGGCGGACCTGGAGAAGGCCTGGGTGCAGCGCAGGATGATGCTGGACCAGTGCCTGGAGCTGCAGGTACAGCCTCGTCCCGGCCAGGCCTCTCCTCTCACACCTCCTACACCACGGCCCCTCCTCCCTGCCTCTGGCCCGGCCAGGCCTCTCCTCTCACACCTCCCACACCACGGCCCCTCCTCCCTGCCTCTGGCCCGGCCAGCCCTCTCCTTGCGAGTTTGTGACAACTTTGCGACTTACAGTACTTTCACAAAGTTCCCAATTTTGTCCTTAATTCAAGATGTCGAATCTTTTGATAACCTCTATAAATTAATATTGTAATAGAGATTTAATAACCAGTCTGAGAAACTGGAATTGCAGTTCCACTTCAATAAATGAACAACTTGAAGAGGATTCACTGTTGGATGAGCACTAGTTCAATGTGTTATTTTTCAGATCAGCTTGATTCAACAGATGCGATGCATTGAGATAGTGAGTCAGACAGACGTTTAGCTCTCTTGCTGCAGGAGAGGTAGGCAGGGAGACAGTGCGTGGTAACTGGACATGTGGTATTCGTCCCCCCCCAGCTGTTCAACCGGGACTGCGAGCAGGCGGAGAACTGGATGGCGGCTCGGGAGGCCTTCCTGGCCAGCGATGACAAGGGCGACTCTCTGGACAGCGTGGAAGCCCTCATCAAGAAGCACGAGGACTTCGATAAGGCCATCAATGTGCAGGTCAGTCAAAGGCTGCTGCATTTTCGCCTTGATAGCAAAGGGGAAATGCTGAGGTCACAGCTCGGAGACCTGCGCCAAACGAATTGCTCATGGTCCAGTGGGCTGTAGTATTATTCACGGAAATTAATATTGACCTTCAGTTGCTTTTGGGTTGCTGTACAAGTATGCAGCATCTGAAACTCTCCGTGTCCCTGTCCCCTGCAGGAGGAGAAGATCGCCGCTCTGCAGTCCTTTGCTGATCAGCTGATTGGAGCCGATCACTATGCTAAGCAGGACATCTCCAACAGGCGCAATGAGGTCCTGGACAGGTCAGTGTGGCTGCTGGCCTCACTGAGAGGCCGTCGTCTGCAGGTTTCTTCAAGACAAGATGCCTTCTGTGCAGGTTTATGTAGCCCTTGGAAAAGGGGATTTGTGCTTGTGCTGCAGAGTTCTAGCATGTCCTGGATTTTACATCGCTCTCGCAGCGCGCACAGGAAACGCCTCGGTGACGATCACTTGCATGTCGGTGCTGAAGCTGTGTGCGGATTGCAGGTGGCGCCACTTGAAGGCCCAGATGATTGAGAAGAGGTCCAAGCTGGGCGAGTCGCAGACCCTGCAGCAGTTCAGCCGGGATGTGGACGAGATCGAGGCCTGGATCAGCGAGAAGCTCCAGACCGCTACGGACGAGTCCTACAAGGATCCCACCAACATCCAGGTAAGGGGATCGGGGCCAGGAATGTGAAAGCGTATGTTTCACCTTAGGACATTATGATTGGCAAACCACCCGAATTACTAAAAATAAACATTTACATCTGGTTTTGCTAAAACGGTTCTAGAATGTGTTTTAACAGGCAGCAGCTGAATACATAGGAGTCATTCTGCAAACTAGGAAATGTCCCACGAGTTTATTGTGGTCTAAGCTCTGTAGAGCATGCTGATTTTCTCTGAGGTTTTCAAGTTAGCCATGTAGAGAAGTGGTTGAGGGCCTCAGTGCGCCTCTCCTAAGACTTGTAGCACGTTGAGCCCCGAGGTGCAGATGGCTCAGCTTGTCTTGGCTTGCCGTGTAGCAGTGAGTCCTGGAGATGAAGCAGAACCACCTGCCAGCTTGTAGTGATGTCAGGGCCAGCGTCACAGCGTGTCAGAGCAGCGAGCGCAGGGGTCCTGTGTGCAGTACAAGGGTTACATCAGGAAGTCGATGACCAATTGGCCGTTCTGCACCGAGGAGCTGTAAAATACGAACGTATTTGGCATTTCCAATTTTTCTCACTGCTGATGAGCAGTTTCTATTCCTCATCCTCTCAATATTTTTACATTGTCCTTTTCTTATGATCTCCTGCATCTCTCCGAATGAAATACTGAATATCTTCTTTCTTTCTATGTCTGTTTTTAGCTGTCCAAACTGCTGGTAAGTGAATAGTGTGTCTGTACTAACTGTAGGGTCTCTTGACTGGGTGTCAGTCTCTTCTGATAAGTGTGTAGATACACAGTCGGCTTGGCTGGACCTCCACCCATGTGTCTTCTGTTCATCCGTACTTGGCGTGCTTGCTTTTTTGTGAATAGTCCTGCAGTTCTTAGTGTAAGTCCGTGACACTAAAGAAGCTGGGTGTGCTTTCATTTTTGTTTTGTCTTAACTCTTGGGGTGTCTATTTTAAAACTCGTTCCACGCTGCAGTATTTAACAATGCTCCTTTAGAAGACTTAAGAACATTTACAAAAACGCTATCCATTGGTGAACGGGCGCACGCGTTTCTCTAAACCACTTCGATCCAGTACCGTTGAGAATGTATTCAAGCATGGGCCACGGACCCATCTTGTTTCCATGGGGGGGTATTTGCAAGTCTGGAACGATGTTTAAAACGCTGTTCAGGTGTGGAAAACACTGCTGTGTGTTCAGGACAGTCTCTTCATTTTTTTGAATGTCTAGTGAGCTGTGGTGTCTCTAGCAATTGAGAAAACGCTGGCCTCTTGTTCTGATGTTTTCACAATTCATCACTCAAGCCGTTGTCAGTTATTGTAAAATTAATACTGAGTGTGTTCTACCATCTGCATTTTTTTTTTTTCCCAAATTTTGTGTTATGGTTGATTTAGCTACCAAAGGTAAGATCAATGTTATGGTTTGCGGCATTTATGTTCCATTTACCACCCGTTTGTACAAGCGCTCAATAATAGAGCTGCAGGTCACGCCCTGTAGTTGGCTGGCTGGGGGACTTTTCCCCGTCTCCGTTCACCCTGGCTCTGACCTTGTCCCCCCTGTCCCCTCGGTGGCCCGCAGAGCAAACACCAGAAGCACCAGGCCTTCGAGGCCGAGCTCCACGCCAACGCCGACCGCATCCGCGGCGTCATCGACACGGGGAACTCGCTCATCCAGCGGGGCGCCTGCGCCGGGAGCGAGGACGCCGTCAAGGTGGGTCCCACGTCCTCGCCGTGCCGCTGGCTCGGAGCCGGCCCGATCACCGATCAGCTCCACGTCTGCCCAAGAGCCGTGTGGGCGCTGGTGGTTTGCCGTTGATCTAGATTAGAGTCCGTTTGTCGCCCACTTGAAAGGTGCTGATCACGTCGATGACGGAAGAGAAAATCGTGCAGGACAGAGAACCTGCGTGGCTTGTTTTGGAGTTTGTGTCCCTTTTGGAAAAAAGGCACCTAAGTAAGACTGAAGAGGAGTCTGTCATGGACGCCCAGAGGGCACTGCTGTTGTAAAGCAGGGAGAGATGCTGACGAGCAGTTTTTAGCAGTAACAGTACGCGCAGCTGTCAGTTTCACCCTCCTCCTCCTCCTCCTCCTCCTCTGCAGGCTCGTCTCAGTGCCCTGGATGACCAGTGGCAGTTCTTGGTGAACAAGTCAGCTGAGAAGAGCCAGAAACTGAAGGAGGCCAACAAGCAGCAGAACTTCAACACTGGAATCAAGGACTTTGACTTCTGGCTGTCTGAGGTGAGGGAGCAAGTGCTTAGGCCCACAGGCAGCTGCTTCAGCTCAGATTCCTGTATTAAAGCTGGACGTGATTTGTCCCGGTGGAAACGGGCTACAGGTATCTAGCTTCCTTTTAGCACAGACAGTGAATTTCATAGCCATTGATACTGTGACATTTAGAGACTGTAATCAAACTACCTTTTTGATTGTACCTTGTTTCAATGGAAAGACTTAGAGAATCGACTCAAAAAGGGCTAAATTCGATCAAACTGGATAGAAATGAACCTCTGTCTTTTAGAATTTTAATTTCCTCACCTTTGAATACCAGTATTTTCATCAGACCAGCAGCTTTTCAAGCTCTATCTTCTGTCTCCCTCCAGGTTGAGGCCCTCCTGGCCTCAGAGGATTATGGGAAGGATCTTGCTTCTGTCAATAATCTTCTGAAGAAGCACCAGCTGCTGGAGGCCGACATCTCTGCACATGAGGTACTGCATGCAGCCTGGATAGCTCTGCTGCAGAGCCACCTGGGACTGCACCCAGGTGTTGCAGTCACAGACTGTATAATCGATTTTGAACAGGGAATCTGGGGTATTTTTGTCAGAGACCAGCTAAATGTGTTGCACATTTGACAGATTTTTGTTTCGTGTCTCAAATCTTAGCATCTTTTTTTCTTAAATTCTTCACATGGGTGATAAATGAAAGGAAATGCCCGATAACTGATGCTGGAATAACTTTCATACCGTGCACGCTCCTCTTCACGAGGAAAGCTCAAAGCCGTAGAGAGTCCTGAGGTGGGGAGAAGAGCAAGGGGCCGAGTGACCGGTGCTAACACTTGTGTCTGCAGGACCGGCTGAAAGACCTGAACGGCCAGGCAGACAGCCTGATGGCCAGCAACGCCTTCGACACGTCCCAGGTGAAAGACAAGCGCAACGCGGTCAACGGGCGCTTCGTCAAAATCAAGAGCATGGCGGCCGGCCGGCAGGCCAAGCTGAACGAGTCGCACCGCCTGCACCAGTTCTTCAGGGACCTGGATGACGAGGAGTCCTGGATCAAGTGAGTGTCTCCGAGGACCCCGCATCCCAGCGAAGGGCAGATCGGTTCTGCGGCCCCAGTCTGTAGTTGTGTTGGTGTGCTACATTTTTCCGTTTTTAACATTTCTAGTAGCGCAAAAAATGAAGGTATCTGTAAATCAGCTCAAGTTGCTTGCACAGTATCTGAATGTTCAAAAAAAAAAGTTTAGAAAAACCTTTAGCCCTGCAGAGCAGAGGTATCAATCTGCATTAAGCCTGGAAAGAGTCTGGTATCCAGTTTTAGTGCTTCCCAGCTAGTCCAGCGTTGATCTCACCGTGCACTGCTCGCTGGCGCCCCCTGCAGGGAGAAGAAGCTGCTGGTGAGCTCCGAGGACTATGGCCGTGACCTGACTGGGGTGCAGAACCTCCGGAAGAAACACAAGAGGCTGGAGGCCGAGCTGGCTGCCCATGAGCCTGCTATACAGGTACGGACGAGCGCGCTCGCAGGTGTCCAGCGGGAACTGCGGATCCAGGCCTGGCAGTCCAGTGCCGGGGCTGTAAGAGCTCCTCGTGTTGCGGGTTAAATAACTAACCCAACGTCTCTGTTCCCGACGGCTGTGCTCCTCTAGTCCGTGCTGGAGACGGGGAGGAAGCTGTCCGATGACAACACGATCGGGCAGGAGGAGATCCAGCAGCGCCTGGCCCAGTTTGTGGAGCACTGGAAGGAGCTGAGAGACCTGGCTGCAGCTCGGTACGTGCCCCGCCCTGCCCGTGACGTCGGGGGGCCAGGGTCCAGTTGTCGAGCGCGTGCCTTGGTGCGGTCTCGTGGTCCGTTTACTGAACTGAAGGCAAATACCACTCATGGAAGAGCCCTGGTTCAGAGCCTTATTTAGTTCAGTGCGTTTCCTAAAAAATGTATTTCTTTAAGTGATTCCCCGAAACCCATATTCTTTAGTGACAGTGCAGTTGGTTCTGTGAAATCATCAGGCTGGAGTGGTCAAATCCTCGGGCTGCAGGTGAGAGGAGGCCAGTGAGCCGGTCCGGCTCGTTGACTTGCAGGCAGCTGCGTGTCTGAGGTTCCTGGAGGTCCGTGGGGATCCTCCTTCAGCACCCCCGCTGGCTGGCCGGGCTGCCCTTGTCCTCTCTCGCCCTGCCCCGGTGTGTGAGGGGCGTGATCCCGCCCGCTGCAGGCGGAGAAGCCCAGCGGGAGGTTTGCAGCCCCGGCGGCCGGAGCCGGCTGGGAGTGTGAAGGTCCGTCTTGTCTCCGCGCTGCAGGGGCCAGAGGCTGGAGGAGTCCCTGGAGTACCAGCAGTTCGTGGCCAATGTGGAGGAGGAGGAGGCCTGGATCAACGAGAAGCTCAACCTGGTGGGCAGCGAGGACTATGGGGACACGCTGGCTGCCGTGCAGGTCAGGCCTCTGCGAAGCAAGAACCTTTATTGGGTTTTATTTGTGGGATGGGTTTTTTTTTTTTTTTTTTTTTTTTTTACAAAGGCCCTCTGATAAGAAGCTCTAACTGTTCCCCCAGCTGAAAACGCTGTGGTGCTCAGGCTCTCCTGTTACAGCTGTTATCCCCTTTAGACTAACGAGACCTCGTTCTTGCTTCAGATTCATGCTCTTCGGGGTCAGGGGCCGGACTGTGGCAGGAAATAAACTCGGTTTAGTTATTGTGAGGCGTGCTGTGAGTTTTTTTTAATGTTTTTAATGTTTAGAGACCAAGCATGTCTTGGAAATTCCACATGAGCTCTCGCTGTTTTGACAGCACAGGCCAGAGGCAAAACGTCCTGCCTTGATCTCGGAGCAGAATAGCCTTCGCTGCACTTAAGGAGTGACTTTTTTGCTTCTCTGGGCACCCTCGATTATTTTGTAGTAGTATTTTTTTTTTATAAGGTACCTAACTGACTTTTGCCTGCTATCAAAACTGATAAAAATTCTAAACGTGAAGAATATTTGTTTGGTCAGTAGAATCGCGTACCTCCAGTGCGGAGCTCTGTCTGCTTGGCTTGAACTGTGCTCTTTCCGTTTGACAGGGCTTATTGAAGAAGCACGAGGCCTTCGAGACGGACTTCACGGTGCACAGGGACCGAGTGAACGACGTGTGCGCGAATGGGGACGATCTGATCCAGAAGGCAAGTTGCACTGAAACGCCGTATCCGTGCGTGCAGGGCGATCGTTTGAAATGGGTGGCACTATAAAAACGTTTACGAGGCGTGTAGCTCGCGTCGATCGAAATGCCGAGACGTTGAAGGAGCCCGGCTGTGTCCCCACAGAACAACCATCACGTGGAGAACATCGGCGCCAAGATGAAGGCGCTGCGCGGCAAGGTGTCGGAGCTGGAGAAGGCCGCGGCGCAGAGGAAGGCCAAGCTGGACGAGAACTCGGCCTTCCTGCAGTTCAACTGGAAGGCCGACGTGGTGGAGTCCTGGATCGGTGGGTCCCGCTGCCGGGGAGGGGGAGGGGTCGCTGGGTGATCCCTGCCGACTCCGTCCAAGAGCTGCTCGCTTCGGGGTCGGCAAGCACAGCTCCGCATCCCGCAATTCAGAACGAGGCAACAGAGCATCGGTTGGCGTGAAGCGGCGGTATTGCACTGTGAACAGGACTAGATCTCTTTCAAACCCATAGAAATATTTCTCTTGACTTTGAGACAGTTTTGCCGACAAATCACTCTTTAACGCTGCATGCAGATCACATTTGGACATTTCTGCAGAGAAAGAACTGCTGCACAACCTGTACGTATTCGCTTGTACATTACGTCAGTCATTACAGTGACTAGTGAGCAGGAAGGGCCGCATCACAGCACAATTTGCAGGAACCTCAAATGCAAATTTGAAACAATATGGCGACTTACAGTACTTTCACAAAAAGTTTGCTATTTTGTGCTTCATTTGAAATTTGTCATTTTTTTCCATGCCGCCGATGAATTTATTTTGTTACCGACATTTAACAACAGGTCTAAGACGTCAGGACTGCGGTTCCCTACTAATATTAGCATCTTGCATTTTGATTTTTTTTTTTCTTTTTACATGTGCCTTGCAGCGTATGAGTGTGATTTCTGATCAGGAGGCAAGCCTGTGTTTTAAATAAGAAGGGGCCACTTTGTTGTTGGGGAAGTGACTTGTGTAAATCTTCAGGGATGGCACATCTCTAGATGCGGTATAAAACAAAAGGCTTTATTGGCGTCTGTGTTCGGTCTCTGTGTGGGTTTGAGAACTTCCTCGTTCCTTTCCAGGTGAGAAAGAGAATAGCCTGAAGACGGACGATTACGGCCGTGACCTCTCCTCGGTGCAGACTCTGCTCACTAAACAGGTGCGAGAGTCCGCTCCCCGAACCACAACTACTATAATAGTTCTGAAATCTGTAAGATTACCATAAAGCAGTCTGAAACGCCTAACTTTTTTTTCTGTAAAGAGTATAAAAATATTGGGAATGAAGAAACATAAGCAGGCGTGTCCAGCTAGGGACTGTTCTGTTTCGGGATGTCTATGTTTTAAAGGTCATGCGCTGTAGAAGTATGCGTTGGAGAAACATGGTTGCTAAAACGCTTTCCTCGAGTCCTGGAGCTGTGCGGGAGTTGCAAAGCGGTCGTGCCCAGGCCGCTGGGCTGGGGGGCTCAGGCTGGGGGTGGGCAGCGCCCCCCAGGCTGGCTGTGCTGTGACCTGCCTGTCCCCCGCTGTGCGCAGGAGACCTTCGATGCCGGACTGCAGGCCTTCCAGCAGGAGGGCATCACCAATATCACGGCCCTCAAGGACCAGCTGGTGGCCGCCAAGCACGTGCAGTCCAAGGCCATCGAGGCGCGCCACGCCACGCTCATGAAGCGCTGGAACCAGCTGCTCTCCAACTCCGCCGCCCGCAAGAAGAAGCTGCTGGAGGCCCAGGAGCACTTCCGGAAGGTCAGGATCGGCAAGAGGGGTGTTGCCTGCTTGTCAGGCTGGGAAAATAATTCTGTGGTGTCCTTAGGCATGGTATTTTATTCCTGGGAGATCTCGTGAAGAGGGAAGACTGCCTGACGCGCAGTGCTGTTGCCCCTTGTTCAGGTGGAGGACCTCTTCCTGACCTTCGCCAAGAAGGCGTCTGCGTTTAACAGCTGGTTTGAGAATGCCGAGGAGGACCTGACGGACCCAGTGCGCTGCAACTCCCTGGAGGAGATCCGCGCTCTGCGGGACGCCCACGAGGCCTTCCGCTCCTCGCTCAGCTCCGCGCAGGCCGACTTCAACCAGCTGGCCGAGCTGGACCGCCAGATCAAGAGCTACCACGTGGTGTCCAACCCCTACACCTGGTTCACCATGGAGGCCCTGGAGGAGACCTGGAGGAACCTGCAGAAGATCATCAAGGTGCCGCCTCCGCCCCCGCCGTTCATACAGCAGGCCGTGTTCCTCACTCACGAATGGGGCCTCTTCTGAGGCGTTGGACCCTTCTGTCACCTGAAGGGTAGCTGGGGGGTATTCCTCACCAAATACTCATCAGCGCTTAGGACTGTCCCGTCTGGGCTTGCACGCCTGGCTCCCAGTGCGCGCGCGTCTCAACCCCCGCGCTGGGAGTCGAGGTGGCGCTCGTAGCCTGGCCGCTCCGCCGCGGGAGAGACAGCCGTCCCCTTTCTCCCGCAGGAGCGCGAGCAGGAGCTGCAGAAGGAGCAGCGCCGGCAGGAGGAGAACGACAAGCTGCGCCAGGAGTTTGCCCAGCACGCCAACGCCTTCCACCAGTGGCTGCAGGAGACCAGGTAGGGGGCGCCGGAGAGGCGCGCGGGCATTCTTCCCCGCATGCTCCCCAGATCCAGTAGCGCCATGGATCAGGAGCGTGCAGCTCTTAGCGAGTAGAAAGTAGGGGTATACAGATTGGTACTTCAGGTAGAAATGACTTGGGCTATGCTGTGGTTCCTTGTCAGGACGTGCTCTGAAACACCTTGCAGAGCAGCTTATATGTTAATAACCTGTAATGTGAAAATCCATCCATCTCCCTGTGTAAGCATCTGCCTCCTGTTGATAACCAGTGCTCTGACCAGCTCTTAATATCCCTGCTGCTCGGCACCTCGTCTCTGATCAGCACTTCCATCCTTTCCATGTCGATATGTGAACATTGATGGTACTTTGCTGTAACTAAGTAAATATCCACCCCCGTTTTCAGCCATAAGACTGTTTCAACATGAGAACAGGCTTATGCTCGTCTTCCGTGCAGTTACTGTGCTGTCATGTGGCATGTAGAGATTTACAAGGACATTGGCGCCAGCGGTGCTGGAAACTGTTTCTACTGAATGTTTTTAACCAATTTTTCTCTGTGTTTTTGTTTTCCCTTTTCGCCCCCTGCTGCTTCTTTCCTGCTGCCTGATGCTTGGATCAATTTTCTAATCAGGACATATCTACTGGATGGGTTAATATCAAATTTTTCTCTTTCTGTGTTTAAATGTCTGTGCGTGCTTAGTAGTGTAAAAAAATGATTGTAATTGCGTCACGAAGAGGTCTGTTTGTTGCTGTGCTGTTTTTGTGGTGTATGACAAAGAAAATGTCGATTTGGGTATCTTCTGAAAGCCTCTCTTTCTGGGGCGGGGTGTCTGGTTGTACTCTGCAGGTGTAATTCCCGCTGCAGGGTATCCAAGTTGACATTTTGTGTATATGTACATTTTTTTTTTTCATCGTAATTTTTTTCTCCTCTGTTCTGACTCATTTTTTCCTTTTTGGTTTTGTCTTTCAATTCTCCTTTGGGCTTTCTTTCGGTATTCACATTCTTTCTCTTCCCCTCCCTTCTCTGAATAGCATAGCCTATCGGCGGGTTATCCATGTTTATCAGTATGAAGTCGGTGATGATCTTTCTGGAAGGTTTTTTTCCTTTTTTTCTGGTTTCTTTTCTCCCGGCCCCGTCCCTCTCTCCTGCCTCCCACGCTGTCCCTCCCCCTTCCCTGAAGCACTTGAGTCTAAACCTGTGTTTCTTTCTGACTAACCCTCACTGCACTCCGGCTTTAAACCGCTCGGTTCTTCTGACACAGCTGCTGCTTTGTGTGAGGCTGGCCGTCTGTCGGTACTTGATGGGTTTATGATGGTTTGGTTTCTTTTTTTTTTTTTTTTGGTTTGAAGCACCAAAACCAGGGGTTGAAACTGCAATTTTTGGTTACGTTCTTATTGCTGTGCGGCTTGTTCTCATGACTTGGCTACGTTAGCAGGTGGCTGCCAAACAAACTGGGCTCTGAACACCCCTTTTTACTCTTTATTTGACACATGTATTCAACATTTGTGTCCATCATCCACTTATTTAAACAGTGTAATATTCTGCACTGTTGGGTGCTAAAAATGCAACCTACTGCATATTTTCTGTGTTCTGGCTTCAGCGTGACCACACAGACACTGGGGCATGGTGCTCAGGAGATAGAAGTACCCCCTAACGCTGCATGTCACGTGTCTTGTGTACAGTCTAGTGAGGATCGATTCAAAAAGCTTAATGGAGCAAATATTGTTTTGTGGTGAAGCTCCTCAACAGTGATCTATGGGTGTAGATTCAGCACTGAGGAAGCAGCAGGGGCAGTAAGACAAGCCAGAGAAATCTCAAGCCTTTCCGTTCGCAAGCCTGAACAGACAAGCATGGCAGTTTCCACCCCTGCGCGCAAAGGGCCTAACCAAGCATGGTATGGGTACCATGGTGGCGGATGGCTTCTTTGGCATGCACTGAGACCTGGGGCCAAGTGCAGGACAGCAGCCCGGCCCTCGTGGGCAAACAGCAGGGGCACAAACTCCTTCTTGCCTCATTTCCCCCCCCTCGGTTTTCTGACTCCCTAAAGACAGGTAAGTTATGACGCTTCATGTGAGAACAGCGCCTTGCCGTATGTAGCGAGTCCTGATCCAAGCGCTGGTGCAGGCAGTGGACCTGAGTCAGTGGGGTTCCCCCCAGGCTGTTCTTCAGGTGTGCTCTGCGTTTTTAGGAAGGTGCTCATTTCAGGGCTTTTAAAAAAAGTTTCTCCTAGTAATCTGCACTTGGCTTCCAATCCTTAATGGCTTTGGTTTGTTGGATTGTTTTTGTTTTTTTTTACCTTCCTTGAAGTGCTGTTTGAATTGGGCTGGCTTTTTTTTTTTTTATATCGTTTACCTTTGGTCCAGCTCAGAGTTACCATCTGGTCAAGTTGCTCCACGATATACGAACCCCGCTATCGGAAACGGGGCCAAATTGAGTCGCCCTCTGGCCTCTGGCCGTCGGTGCCGTGGTGCCCGTTAGGGTGCAGCCGTGCCGCTGCTGGGCTGCTGGGAGTTGAGTGGCTGCTGGGTGATAACTGTGGGCCCCGGCTGCCGCTGGCCTCTCTGACGCGTGTCTGTGTGCAGATCCTGCATGGTGGAGGAGTCGGGAACACTGGAGTCGCAGCTGGAGGCCACCAAGGTGAGAGACGCGTCTCTGATCTCAGGTCTCGCCGGCTAGAAGAATGTTAGTTGACATCCATGAGTTGTTAGTACTGTACACACTCCTCTGATTCACCCACAGGCCTCAGTGTCAGTGCCTGAGAGCCCCGAGACCCCTGTCCCACCCTGCGCCAGCTGTGCGCAGCTGTGTGGGGGAACCCCAGTCACAGTCGACTAGTGAAGCAGCACCTCGGTGCTCTTCGGCAAAGCCTCTGCAGAACTGGTGGGGCCCTGAGGTTCAGACAGTAATCTCCCCCGGTGGCTCAGCAGGTTCAGGTCTCTGCTCTGAGCATGTTCCACTGTTCAGGACAGATCCCCCGTTTTTCAACAAAGCTGCTACATTAGTCAGCCATGACTAGGATTTCTTGGAAGGTGTCTGTCATTTATCTGAGCTTTTGCAAGGGTTTAATTTGTTCATCATTGGAGAGAATATTAGTCCAGCTTGTGATCCTGGCACCTCTGGGAGGACTGTCAGTCCTTGATGCCATACCTTCGAGTGGCTGCTCTCCCTTTGGCAGGAGATTCCTTAGTTTTATTTCTGTAACGCATTCGATGAATGTGTGTATGTGTGTTGGATGTAGTGGAGTGAAGTTTTGAAAGCCAGGGATCTTGAGTGTATTGGACTGTGCCTGCTCACAGTGGGCCAGCCTGACCCTGTGCCTGCTCACGGCGGGCCAGCCTCACTCTGCGCCTGCTCACGGCGGGCCAGCCTCACTCTGCGCCTGCTCACGGCGGGCCAGCCTCACTCTATTTAACCCTTGCCTCTGCAGCGCAAGCATCAGGAGATCCGTGCCATGCGCAGCCAGCTGAAGAAGATAGAGGACCTGGGTGCTGCCATGGAGGAGGCGCTGATCCTGGATAACAAGTACACTGAGCACAGCACCGTGGGCCTGGCGCAGCAGTGGGACCAGCTGGACCAGCTGGGCATGCGGATGCAGCACAATCTGGAGCAGCAGATCCAGGCCAGGTCAGCTCTGCCCTGCCGCGTCTCGCCTGGGATAGTTGTTCACGAAGCCAGTCTTTGTTCTTCCCTTCTCTAAACGCACGCCTGTCTCTTTACACAGAAACACCACTGGTGTGACAGAAGAAGCTCTGAAAGAATTCAGCATGATGTTCAAGTGAGTCATTTTGTTTTTCTTGTTTGCCGATGATCACTTACCTCTTGTGCACACAGTTGCAGTGAAAGGTCTGCGTATCAGATGTGTTTTTACTCAAGTTCGTCTGGATTCTATAACAGTTTGGAGAATTGTAAACATAGTGGTAAGGTGCGGTGTATTGTGCAGCGTATGTACTGGCTACGTCTTCCTTCCTGCTGGTGAGAAGCTGAGTTTTCTCCCAAGGACCAGTGTTCGTTCAAGCGTCCGGAGGAGATGTCCCCTGTTGTGACGCGAGGGAGTTTGCTGTGTGTTTCCAGGCACTTCGACAAGGACAAGCTCGGCCGTCTGAACCACCAGGAGTTCAAGTCGTGTCTGCGCTCGCTGGGCTATGACCTGCCCATGGTGGAGGAGGGAGAGCCCGACCCCGAGTTCGAGTCCATCCTGGACACTGTGGACCCCAACAGGTCAGTGCTTCACTGCCACACAGGGTGCAGGCTCCTCCTGTAGGACCTGGCTGGATCTGGAGATCAGCTGGTTCTTTTTCCCCCAAGTGGTATTTTTAAAATGTGACATGTTTGGGGGGTTATGAGAGGATAAGTGCAAAAAAACAAAACAAATTGAAGAGCAAAAGAGGGAGAGAGGAAGAACCAGAGCTGTGTCTTGTTGAGGCTCTGAATAGGTGCTGGAAGCAAGAAAAGGAAAGAGGAAAAACATACAAGAGGATGAAGATGAACATTATGCATAGACAAAACTAAGAAAGAAAATAATATAATGGCTATAATTAGGATAGCAGTAAAGGTTACGTTAGAATATAAACTTATATATGCATATAATGTTATACTTTAGTGGTATTGGTGTCTGTTTTCCAATATGGTATTTTAATGTGTAAGTATTAAAATGTGACATTAAACTACTGGCAATTTTAGAGATATAATGAATGGATTCAAAGAATCATTACACTGTTAAAATTGATTTTTATAACAAGTTGTGATCTTACCAAGTGATATGCAGTCTATTGGAAGGTGAAATATTGTGACCTTTTGTCTAGTTTTTCAGTTAAAAGTATTGTTTTCTTGGCAGTGGTTAAAGCAGTGAGTATTGGTCTGGAGTTTTTGAGTGTGAAGGCTCACCAAGCAGACATGAGGAAGACAGACTGAAATGCTGCAGTTTCTTATTTTTTATTTTTTATGTAGCTTCCTTCATACCAGGGCTTTTGAGAGCAGAGCAAAAGTGAATAAAAAGCTGAGCAATTGCATATCCAGTTGCAAACCTCTACACAATAGCCCGCTCAAGGCCTCCCGAGCGAGTGCGCAGTTAGTATTGGTTCAGCAAGTGGTGCAGAGAGTAGGGTGTGATGAGCTGGCCAGGCCACTCTCGACTCGGCAGCACCGAACCCTGCTGGGCATCCGCAGGCACCCGGCGATGCCTCTCCTGCCCTCGGTGCTGCAGTTTAATGTTACATAAATGTTGATAGGGTGTAGCAGAAGTAAAGGGTTAAAGGCTCTGAGCCTGAGTGGCTGAAAATGGCATTTCGATACAACCAGTAAATCTGCATTTTCAGATCTAAGTGAGCTATTAGGTATGTGAAGAATGTAGAAAAGTCTACACCCATGGAGCATTTCACGTGTTACAGTAGCAGCTTTGAAGTCCATTTGAGAACCTACAGTCTCCCTTTGTCAGGACCTGAGGTGAAGGTTTTCAGGTTTGTCAGAAAAATCTGCAGATAAAGGGTTAAGGTTGAGAGCTTGGGAAAGCATGAAGAATCACAGCTGTGTCCTTCCTGTTCAGGCATGCTTCGAGTTTTGCCATGCTTCCTAGGCTGTCAAAGGTTGTTGGGGGAAACGGTTCCACTGCTTAGAACTGCCAGTGTCAAATTCACCAGCTTCTGGCAGCTTGAATCTAGAGCTGACTGCCGTTCTCTTTTGGGTGTGCTTCAGCTGATTAGCTGCCTCTATGACTTGGATTTCATTGAAAAATTAATAAAGGTTATTACTGTGGCGGATTGGCCTAGAAAGCAGGGCTATATCTGAGTATAGATAGATACTTTATTAATCCCATGAGGGAAACTGCAGTAATTGTAATTGAAATTGAGTATCAGAAGCTCAAAAGTGAAAATTGGTTTTCTTGATATCGCCAAGACTAGTGCACCCACTTAACAGCAAAGGCCCAAAGAAGAAGAGCTGTACTGAACTGAATGAGCATCTTATGAAACAAACAAACTATTGAGAAAGGACGTCCTCTTGTCTGAGCTTGCGGGGCTTTGGGCCGAGAAGCCCCTGCTTTGCTGGTAGGAAGTGTTGCTTCAGGCCCTTGAATGACCGTGGGTGTCTGTCTCTGCCTCTGCCTCTGCCCAGGGACGGGCATGTGTCTCTGCAAGAGTACATGGCCTTCATGATCAGCCGGGAGACGGAGAACGTGAAGTCCAGCGAGGAGATCGAAAGCGCTTTCCGAGCCCTCAGTGCAGAGAACAAGCCCTACGTCACCAAAGAGGAGCTCTACCAGGTAGGGTCCCGGAGCCCGCTACACTGCTGACATCACTGCTGCGCTGCCCTCAGGCTCTGTCGAGGCTTCCAGGCCCGAGCAGCGAGCCAGCACCACAGTATGGCCTGTCTGCTGTGGTGCCGAAAGAGACTAGTGTAGTGTTGACTGGAAAACACTGTTCGCTTATTGTGTATTGATCTATACCCTTATGACAATCCCCCATTTGTTACCAGAAGAGTTGAAGAACTCAGGAATTCAACACTTCTCCCAGACTGCTCACTGCCAGCGTATGAGGACCCCAAATTAGGCCTGGTTTCCCTGCTGTAGCCCTAATCATGATGTCCTGCCTAACCAACACCTTTTCAAGTAACAGGGCTGAAAGGATTAACCAATTGTTAACGTTTTGCTTCCAGAACCTGACGAAGGAGCAGGCCGACTACTGCATCTCGCACATGAAGCCCTACATGGACAGCAAGGGCCGTGAGCTCCCCTCGGCCTTCGACTTCGTGGAGTTCACTCGCTCGCTCTTCGTCAACTGATCCCCCGTCCCCCCCTCGCCTGCCAGTGACAAATCGGGACGCGTTTTCCGACGGCACACCTGCATGATTCAGGCTGACTCGCTCTCTCTGTGTAACTCTTACGATAGCTTTGTGATTGTCTGCAGTTTTTGTGGTGTTAGCTACTAAATGCTTCGCTAGATCTTAAGACA